ATTGTTCACGGCAGCTCTAGAGTCAATATTTAAGAACACTCAATGGCAAGATAAAGATATGGGCATAAATATAGATGGAGAAAGATTAAATCATCTAAGGTTTGCAGATGATGTATTAATCGTAGATAACTTACAGGATACAGTTTCTATAATACATTCGCTTAAAAGTATGTCTGAAACAGCAGGATTAAAGATAAACTTTGAGAAAATTAAACTTATGACAAATCTCGTAATGAGTGGAAATATAACTATTGACAATAATACCATACAACAGACACTTACAAATATCTGGGACACGAGATCAAAATAAGCAGAGACAATCAAACACATGAAATACAGAGGCGAATAGGCTTGGCATGGGCATCATTTGGCAAATTAAGCCATATTCTAAAACGCTCAATTCCATGTGTCTCAAGCGAAAGGTTTATAACCAATGTGTTTTGGCTGTACAAACTTTATGGAGCAGAGACTTTAACACTCACGCAAAAATCTGCGAATAAACTCGATAACTCAAATAAACTGAGTTACACAACGAGCCATGGAACGTGCATGTTGAACGTGAGCCTTCGAGACCACATAACAAACCAACAAATCAGGAAAAGATCATGAGTTCAAGACGTCATCGAAAGAACCACGACGCTTAAGTGGAATTGGGCAGGGCACTTAGCCAGAACACAAGATGGACGGTGGACAAGATGTATTACGGAATGGAGGCCCAGAAACTATAAAAGAAGCCGAAGACGACCACTGACTAGATGGACCGATGATATAAAACGTTTAGAGGGAAACTAGCTACAAGCGGCCCAGTGTAGAAAACACTGGAAAGAACTGAGGGAGGCCTATGTCCAGCAGTGGACGCGATTGACTGATTGATGATGATGAAATCAGGAACTATCAGCTTTTAGACACCCACGACTTTCGATAAATATTGATTCAAGATTGAAACAGTTTGAAGAATACTTACGCAATTTCCATAGTCTAAGGAAGAAATATTACAGATGATGCACACGGAAGGTTATTTTTAAGAACAAATATTTAGCTGTGTACAAATCAGTAGATTAAATGTATAAAAGAACAATAGTTCGCAACTAGGTGCCCAGAGTTTGAGGAACTAGAACAAACACAAGATTATTTCGTTATGTATGAGCATATATGTAAAACGCGAAAGAATTGCTAGACAGACAAGACAAAGGTCTACAAATAAGATAAGTAGTAGATAACAGTAATCGATGTATACTCGAAAACAATCAACTTTGTAAGCATTGAAAGCAACACATACAAGAACTATTTGCAGCACAAATCTCCAGATTTTTCAACAATAAAAATCTCAAATAAACTAAAAAATCATCTGATACCTTAACTTCAGAAGTCTCTCGAACAATTACAAATAGTAAGATAAGAAAAGCCAGTGCCAGATGAAGTACATATAGATATATTCAAATTAATGATTGAAGAAAACATCGCTTTGTTAATGATGAGACTGTTCAGAAATCTGTAAAGGAAGGATTCTACAAGATTGGCTGAAATCAGTCTTATTCTCACTCTAAAAATCCTTGTTAAAATAACCCATTATCGAAAATACCTATAGAAAATGTGAAATCCACTTAGATGGTGGATGTTTAATTTTCGAGAGGGAATGGGAATTAGGGAAGCAATATTTGGGTTAGCTTTCCTATTACTTCTGACACATCAAATGCTACAAGAGAAAGGCATAGATATTCAATTCTTAAAAACCCATATTGGGAACAAAGAATATTTGTCTGTAGGGGTAGCACAAGATGAAATTGACAAAATACGACATCAGGAGTCCGCCAAGAATGTATGCTTAAATTATACCCCGATTTTTAGGGATTAATGTATAAAAAAGTGACGATGAAGTCGAAAAGTATGATCGTATGATCACATCCAAGACAACTTACAGAAACTTAATAAACGCGAAATTTTTTATATTATAGGCGACTTCAATGCAAAAATTGGGGAAGGTCGACGAGGTCAGACTGTAGGTCCTTATGGTCTAGGAAAACCTAGATCGAGGACAGAGATTGTATGAATTTTGTAAAGAAAACGATATAATCATTGCAAACACCTGGTATAAACTACCCAAGCAACGACTATACACTTGGAAAGCCCCATTTTATGATGGCAATAACCCTGAGTCATCAAGAAATCAAATAGACTATACCTATATATACTTGTAAATGACCGTTTCCAAATGCCGTCAAAAAGTCACTACATTTCCTGGGGCAGATATCGGATCTGATCATCAACCACTTGTAGCAGATATTAAACTAAGGTTAAAACGAATTCAGCGACAAAATCAAAGTACTTAACTTTGTCGATATAAACATAAACATATAAAAAAGTAGTTAACAATAGAATAAAAAACATCGGAGAACAACTAGAAGATCCAGAAGAACTATGGAGTGAATTTAAAAACCAAGTTACCGAAATCTCCACAAACACGAATTATAGAAAAAACTTAATAACAATAAATGGATGACAGACGACATCTTGAAATTAATGGATCAAAGTCGACTGATAAAATCTAATGAAATAGAATATAGACACCTGTAGAGAAAAATAAAAAAGGAGATCAAATTAGCCAAAGAAAAATGGATGAGAGAAAGGTGCGACGAAATGGAGGATGTAATATCTAAACACGACTTATTTAATGTGCACAAAAACTAAAAGAAATGAGTAACATATTTAAAAAATGACTTCCCTCTGTACTCGTTGAAAGTAATAACTGTAAATGATCACGAAATAAGAAAAGAATGGCAGCTGTATATATCAAAGTTGTTTGAAGATGACAGGAATAATATTGCCAAATTCTACCAAAACTGCACTGATGGCCCAGAAATTATGAAATGCGAGGTAGAAGATAGAGATGATAACATAAAAGTATTAGTAGACTTTTAATTCAATATATAACACCGAGTGATTCCCAGATGGCTCAATCATCTTGTTTCAATACTAAAACACAATGAAGTAAATGCTCAGAACATCGATCAATTAGCTAATGAGCCACACTCTAAAATTTCCTAAGAATACTTCACAACAGAATTAGATGCAAATGCGAAAATCTCGAATTTGGTTTTAGAAATGCTATGGGAACCAGGGAGGCACTTTTTGCGCTTAACATCCTATTACAAAAATGCCGTGATGACAGAAAAGATGTATTTGCATGTTTCGTGGACTTCGAAAAGGCATTCGATAAAGTACAGCATGTAAAATTAATGCAAATACTGAAAAATATCGGAATAGATAACAACGATATTCGTGTCATTAAAAATTTGTACTGGAGTTAAACTGCTATCGTAAAAATTGGAGATAACTACACCCATGAAATCTCCATACAACGAGGAGTCAGACAAGGTTACATTTTGTCGACAACATTGTTTAATGTTTACTCGGACCAAATATTTAAAAAGGTACTTGAGAGACAACCATATGGAATAAAAATCAAGATAATATTGAACTTCTCCAAATTCTGCTTGATCATATTTACGAGGTAGGAGAGAAAATGGGCATGAAAATAAACTCAACAAAACCGAATTTTTAGTGTTTAGTTGTGACCCACATCCCGATGCAAAGCTTCAATTAAACGGAGTCCAAGTTAAGAAAGTTCACAAAATGACATACTTGGGAACTGTGATAACGGACCAACTAGATCCAGACATAGAAATAAAACAGAATAGCAATGACTAAAACTACTTTTATGAAAATTAAGTCATTTCTTTGCATTAATCATCTAAGTTTAGCACTAAGACAAAGAATGGTTCAGTGCTATGTTTGGTCCGTACTTTTGTATAGTGCAGAAGTGTGGACGCTAAAAGATTCGATCATGAACAAAATTGAAGCATTGGAAATGTGGGTTCATAGATGAATGCTGAAGATACCTTGGACAACAAGGAAAACTAATGAAGTACTAAGGAGTGTCAACAAAGATAGAGAACTGCTAAAGACTGTTAAACATCGAAAAATGTCTTATTTGGGACATATACTAAGGGGAAGTTGATATTAAATATTACAACTGATTCTTAAAGGCAAAATAGAGGGCTGTAGAGGTGTAGGAAAGAAACAGGTTTCTTGGTTGAGGAACATTCGTGAATGACTGATATAAAATGCAGGACAATTATTCTATATTGCCAGAAGATTGAGAAGCCTTTACAATGGGGATTGCCAACATCGGATAATTCTGATATGACATGCGAGAAGAAGTGTATAAAAACAAGATTCTTTTATAATGAATGTTATCTTATACCTAATTCTAGATTAGATAAAAACAAAACAACTTATGGCAGTTTGTAATGTGTAGCCATTAGATAAAAATCTGTCCAAGTGATTATGTGAGAATAAAAAATAAAAAATAAACAGCTGCAATTAGCATTTATTAGTTTTATTAAAATAGCATTTGAAAATACTTTTTAATTAACAGTGCATATATTCAGAGTATTATAAAAATTTGAACCATGTATAAAATGTTCCTTATAAAAATCACTAATGTTTTTCTCCAAATACACTATTAAGAAAACCCCAGGAAGATACACATACATTAATTGGATTTAAATACATAAATAAATATTCAAGTTACTATAAAATATAAATATATTGTAACTATTATGACATAAGGATAACCTGTAGTTATATCTTGAAAAGGTATCTCTGAACTTTCTTTTCCAATTCGATGAATAATACAAACTTACAAGAAGATAAAAATGTTTTAGATTTCCATAGTTTGTAAAATGGCAAAATATTAGATACTAGCTCTGTTGACACTTGGTTAATAATTTATCAGATTTTAAAATATAAAAGGTATTAAAATCCAACTAAAGCTTGAAGTGGTGGCAAGTTGATAAGACAGAATAAACCAATGTTGAAGAATAAAACAGTTAAATCTGTTCAATTTCAGATATATAAGTACATGGTTTAAATATTTTGAAATATAAACTATGAAGGAATAATTTATGATGAATTATAAGAGATGTACATGAAAAAGTAATGTTTATTTTAAAATATATTAACTGAATATTGTGCTACATAGTACAAAGTTTTATAAGACCCTACAAATAAAAGTATAAGTAAAAATATATATTCTAACGTAAAAAGCAAAAAAGTACAATAACAATGCTTAATTAGTACGTAACTGGTAGTCTCCATTCTGTGTAATATATCTCACCCATGGTAGAGCTTGATACCCACTCTTTTCAATAATCTTCAAGTATCTGACTTGTATTCCAGAAGTTGTAAAATACGGAATTTCAAATTTGACTTGAATAGGTGGTTTACCCTCAGTATCTTCACATTCAACGCTAGGTAAACCAAAGTGAGCCCTCATCAAATACTCCTTACCCCCTGGGAATGATTTGATACTCCAAGTTATGGCATTTTGTTCAGGGGCATACTTGACACTGCCAATGGTGGTTTTGAACTTTGGAGAATCTGCATCATGTGGCACTGGAATGATTATTTCAACATTGTTAGCAGTAGAACGTCTCTTGAATTGAGATTTAGCTTTAATCATGTACTCCACTCTGCTATGGGCATGTCTTTCTATAACAGACTCAATCCAAATTAATGGTTTAACATGTGTATTCAAACGATAAGACATTAATTCAAATTCACCATCTGGTGGAATAAAAGAGATTGTTCTGTCTATTTCAAATCTTGATAATCTTACACATTGATGGAATTTAACATCATCTAACTCTACAGATTTAGATTTACCACGCCCTGTACTCTCGAATAATACTTTATCATTGAGACCTAATCTCAGTTCAGGCATACCAGAAAGATACACTCTCATTTTTATTGCTCCCACTATTTCACTTCTTAATACATTGCCATTTGCACTTGCTAAAAGATTTACTGACTCTATTACATCTAAGAATACTTCATTTTTCCTGTATTTTATTCCCTCAGAACGCCATGAAACTGCATTTGTAACAGCTACAGGAATTCTTGGTTGTATCTCCAGTTTATGACCTTCTTGAGTGATGTATTCTTGAAGAATTTTGCTATCAGTTGTTTGAGGATAGCCAAAGTCTAAAAGTTCGTCCAACAACTCATAAATAACAACAAAATTATCTCTGATACTTTCTTCTTCTAATTCTTTAAAATATTCAGTCATAACTTGAACAATTTTATGTAAAAATACAAATACAAGAGCGATATTACCATTTTTCTTCGTAGTGCTTACTATATATAGATTGTTGGTTTTAATATATGAGAAGGTGCATTCAGGGATTTGTAAAATTGGAGTTAGAAGTCCTTCTTCTTCTTTTTCCATTAACAAAGGCATAAACTTTTCTATTACACCTAGGTCTATATCGCCCCTATAGTTCCTAGAGATTAAAACTTTTCCTTTTACATCTAAAATATATATCGCTGAACACGACATGTTTAAAGGTGTATATCTCTACAAAGTGCTCTGAACAACTGGAATGTGATATAACCTCTTAACTTCTTCAGAAAATCTGTAAATAAAGTAATTAGATTATTACTTATGTAACGAGATGTCATTTTACTTACCACATACTGCATTTAACTATATGCAAACAATATATTATCATTATTATTTACTAACTTTTATAAAATCTACACGTAAGTTTGCTGTCATTGATCATCCATTTTGTGGTCTTATTTTTGTGTACATAAAAGTCACCAGTCACCTTTCTACTGATCTGAAATTTGAAATTTGCAACGTTTCTGTGAACAAGAGATTTTCGTATCATAGACGAGGAAATTTGTAGAATTATTTAAAAAACTCATGTTTTTTTAATTATATCAGAGAACTAGTTCGTAGTTCTCTGATTATATCTCCGACTAAGCTACTTTGGGCTAGTAGTAATTTTGGTAATCGCAGCTGAATCGCTTTTTAGCACAAATTTAAGTACATTGCATTTATGGTAAAATTAGTCAATGTACATTTCTGTCCACATATTTTAATAACTTTCATGGAGTCTATGTATTTTTTAGTACGTAAGTTCGAAAATAAACTATGAAGTCCACAATGTTTTATTGCTTGTATAGAAATTGAGACATAAAATAACGAGTATTGTAAAAAATGTTAAATACCTGTAATATGGTGAAAAAAGAGAAATTCTCTATTAGCAGACGTACAATTTTTAATAATTTTGACTTACGAGAATTTGATGAAAAGCGAAATAGTTAAAAGAAGAATTAGAACTAAAAAATGTCACAAAGGTCAATTCAAAATTGACATTGACAACTATTGGCCATTTTTAAATTTGGGTTATGTTATGACGATAGTAGTAAAAAATGTCCACAGTTTTATTTACATTACCAGAGTTATACAACTCGTATAAATCATGGGTGAGCAAAAACCCAAGTTCTCTAGGTGATTGGGAAAGCAGTGTTAAATGGATCTCTTACTTTTTAGCAGGTAATATTAGGTTTTCCTTACTTGTGGTTAACTGTAAATTTGTAAGGATCAGTGCTCTAATTGTAAATATGTTACATTGGGAGAGAAAGCATAGTTTTTCAAATATTCAAAGTGTGTATTAACTATCCAATGATTATGCTGTAAAATATGTATTTATAATTTTGAATAAAAAAGAACATTAAGAAAGATCATGGTTTGTAATTATGTTACACACAATCAACCCAATGAATAAAAAGATAGAGAATATGAACATTTTCATATTTTCAATGCTTACTCATTCTATTTTATTTTATTAATTTAGAATAGACCATTTAAAATATAATTGACAATAACAAAAAAGTCATAAGATATAACTCGAGATTTTAAAGTGTAGACAAGTATGAAGAATAAATTAAAATGAGCTTTGTGCAACAAGCAAACACCTGTTTGACTATTTTTGTTTTAAATTTAATCTAAAATATAGTACACACTGTAAACTTTGAAGCAAGTAATCACCTCAAATGTGAAACAATATCAACAGGTAAACCAACATACTGGCCAAGAGATCTAAGTAAAATTCCTGATCCAATAGATTTCTTTGTAGTGAAGAATATTTCTACAAACTACATCCATGTTGAAGAAGGGGTATAGGCCATGAATTTTAACCACTAGCATATAATTATTACATTGAGTGATACCATAATTCAGAAAGTAAAGTTGCAAAAATTAACTAACAAAAAAAAACTGACTGGATACATGATACTGGATACTTAAAACCAAACTTGAAGAAAGCAGTAATCTCAGTTTTTATAAGAGAAGAGCAGCTAGAGGAACAAATTGAACTTTTTATAAAAAATATTCAGTATAATATCCTGAAAATATTCCCAGGGCAAAAGGTAATAGTAACCTAAAAGAAATTAGGATCACTATTTGTGAAAAATGAAAGCTGAGAAGAAAATGACAAAAGACTTAAACTATACAAGACAAAACAGCTTTAAATAATGCAATGCAGCATCTAAAGTGTAACATCCAGTAAATTAAAAATAAAACAATTGGTGATTATCTGAATGCACTGGCTAATGATGTGAGAAGATATTATTCACTTTGGAAAGTTACAAAGCAACTGAAAACTCCTATTCCACAAAACCTACCAATTAGAAAGACAGATGGGTACTGGGCTCAAACCAAAATCAAAATACACATAGATTTACTGAAAAATAGCAACATATCAACATTAGGACCATCTAGTTCATGGACAACATGGATATGTGAGATGGCTCATAAAAGACAAAGCCTTTGAGGTTGTTAAATAAGTGGTAGTGCAAATTCTATATATCTTAACAGATTGTAGACCCAGATAATTCATTGCCAATGTTTTGCTGTCGAATTAAGGGTCATGTTTTAAGGGGGTTAAGAGTAATGTTTAAGGGAAGCAGATTGTACATTATGATATACAGAGATGTACAGAAATGCATGACTCATTTTAAATGATTGGATATATTGGTTTATATTATAGTACTGGTAAGGATATACATGATAATTTCCTATACTACTTAGAGAAACTATCTACATCCTGTAGTAATGTTGCAACTAGCTATCAGGTTTTTTATTTAAGATAATAAATGATTATCAAATCCCATAGCACTTAGACAAAAACTATGTTGCTGAGTAATAATTAAATTCCTATAAACATTCATGTTTCTACAATTTACTATTTTTACTGGGAATAAGCCTTAATTTTACTTTAAAATTAGTTTATTGTGACATTTTGATTTCCACCTCTGAGTTCATGGTTCTCTCTTTGTAAGTGAAATCTCAAGGTTGTCTCTAAATTTGGTAGATTGTAAACTTCATATTTACATTTTCAAAACAATAATACTGAAATACTCTTTTTAGGCATAAAGACAGTTTTGTTGTGTGATTTTTACTATTTTCAACTACTTATCACATTTTCTACTACTATGCTCTTATATATTTTTTTGCTTCTAGGAAGAATAAATAATTCTCATGTAGTATCAGAACTTATTTACTGTCTATCCAATCTTTTGGTAATGTTCAATGACAGAATCATAAAAAAGGCACAAAAGGTTCATAGCAATGGTACAGCAGAAACAATAAAGCTTTGGTTGACTGTAATTGAATATTCTGAAGTGTTCTGTGAACTTTCTGCTAACAAAATTTGGGGCAATACTGGAAAATGGATTGTTATAGTATCAATACAGGTGTTCAAGTAAGTGGTACCATATAGATAGTTTACAATATATATTCACCAATATATTCCAAATGTGAACAAAAAAAATGTACATTAAATAGATAACTCACTGAGGACTACTTTGTTATTTTATATTATTAATAATAGCTTCAAATTAAGGAACAAAAATATTTTAATTTATTAAATAGCTAACTAAAATTGGAACAATTTTGACTTTGCAAAACTTTGCCCATAACATTTACTTAATTACTCATCTATGAATAAAATATGTGTTGACAAATATGCACTGATTCCTTGTTTTTACTTGTATTTTATAATAGTAACAGTAAAGTAATCAAATTTCAATTTAACATGATCTTGTTTCAGGTGTATTTCAAGACTATTTTTAATCTTCCATTATAAAGAACCCATCATTCAGAGTCCTCCAATTCCAGTTCTGAATAGGAAAAATGTAGCAGCTAGCAACCAAAAATATACCTCTGCAAGAGATGTTGCTCAAGCAGAATATGATTCAGTATCATTCACCTTAAAAAGGTCTGGTAGGGTTGTGAGAAAAGTGGATTCTTCTCCTCCATTGGGTTAGTAAATTAATTGTACCATTATTCAGAGGTCATTCATATTTTTTAAATACATAATAGCAATGAAGAACACTATAGAGCAAAAATGGTGAGTGAATACAAAATCTGTATTCAGATTAGGAAGACAATAAAATATACATGTACATTCTGTACTGAGAAATCAGAAATTCATACCTACAGTTTTGATTGATGGATATCATTAATGGCTAGGGTAGTTGTCAAGAAATCTTTTGTTTTATCTTTATAGGGGCTAAAGTGGTTGAAATCTTGTTTTTCATAACATTTTATATTTTTCTAAAAAACTATTGATTTTAGGAAAACAATTATAAAATAAAATAACATTTTCTAGAGGATACATATGTTGATAAAATTTAAATCTTGCTACTGGTGCGAATACACTGATATATAAAAAGAAATGTGCTAGAGACTTCATTTAAAGGTTTTTTGTGGGCAATTTTATTTAATTATAATAACTGTTGAGAGCCGATTTTTTTGGTAGCAAGAGGCAACTATTGAGTACAAATCCATTTTTTTTGACATTCATATTTTTTGCAAAATAGAGCTTTTTTTAAACTCATCTAATTTTCGAATTTGCAAAGTTTAATTATGAATTAAGTACGAAAAAAATATGATTATATGTCTTTGAGTGGTTCTTAAAATTAGATAAAATCTATATAGTATCTGTAAAAATCGTTTTAAGGGAGTCTATAATATTCATGGCCAAAGTTACAGATAATCAAGTTCATCAATTCAGTTATTCAAAGTGGAAATGGCAGAATTTAAAGCCAACAATTAAGTATTAAAAGCATGAGAAAAGGATAGAAGGGCTAGAAATTGAAGTAAGAAAGTAAAATATATTATATGGTGTAACCGAACAAGAAAATTACATGAAAACTAGTATAAAAGATTTCTACTAAAAATGCAACTAAATTAAAATACTGAGATAATAGATCTAAAATGTATACTACTGCAAAGTTCAAAAATTTAAATATATGGGAGTAATTGTGAATAGTAAATATAAGAGAAGTGAAGAAGTAACAGAGAGTAACAACAAAATATACTGAAAATATCATAACCTAATAAAGGATAAGAACATCCAGAAATACAAAACTGAAAATATACAGAGGTGCAATCAAAACCACTAGTTAAGAATATTTGAGAGGTAAATCCTAAGAAGAATTGTGGGCCCGATAAGAATGGAAAACTGAGAAGTGAAAAGCAGAATGAACCATGAAATAAGAGACATTGAAAATATAGTTAAGACTTATTAAAACGAAGATACTGAGATGACTAGGACATAAATAGAGAAGGAAAACGATCTGCTGATTGAGAATGCCCCTAGATGGTAGACAAAAACTGAATGACTGATGGAAAGACCTAAATAGAGATGGGAGGACCAGGTCACAAGAGAAATGGTGAGACTTATGCATAGATTGAAATGGTGAAATAAAATTGTAATGAACGCCAATCATACAACAAATTTTGACAATATGAAGAATTGAATCACTGAGTGAATACTAAGAAAGATATTTGGACCAACCCTTTGTCCCAATGGTACATAGAAAATTAAAATGAATCAATTTAAAAAGAATGCTGTATATTCGAGCTGTAAAAGTAACCCAGAGATGGAAACCTCAAGGAAAAAGAATAAGAGAAGCCCTGTAAAATGACCTTTAAGTTATGACTATCAGGTAGTGGAAAAGAAAAGTAGCTGACAGAACAGAATGGAAAAATATTGTAAGACAGGTCAAATCGTACATAGGACTGTAGTGTTAGTGTTCTGTTTGTTGCCTGTCTTTTATAACAATATATTTTTCTATTTTCTTTATTATCTTTTGCAGTTTTGCAATGCTTATAGGAACTTTTATTTCATCTTTTTGTTGCTTACTTCTGCAAGGTTATGTAAAATATTTTTTATTATCAGGATTAAGAGATTGGAAACCTTTACCAAAAAGGTCCTTATTGGGTGTGGAAGAAGGTCCAACATTAACTAATGCTTTGGCCAAAAGAGAATTGATTGCAGAAACTGTGTACATTTCAAAACCCATTATTCATCTGGCAGCAATGGCTTGTTTGGGAACTAGGACATGGAAACCATGGGCTGTGTCTTTAGCATTGGACTTTGCTAGGTGAGTAAATCTACATAATAACATATATCAATCACCACAGCTTCAATTAGAGTCTAATATATTTTGTGCAACATTTTTAAATTAACATCACTGTATCATTCAAGTGATCTCTAATGGTTTGTTAAAGATTAATTGAGTGGCTCAGAGGTAAAGGTGCCTACACCCAAAAATGTCTTTTACTGGATTAGGCTTAATAAGTGTGTATCATTTCTGATGTTGGATCATCAAAAATTTAGATCCGTCCTTTGAAATCAGATGTGGAAATAAACAGGCAAGAAGCACATTTTAAACACTCATGTCCAATAATGAGTTATTGGCCCAACTCATTTGGAGCCTAATTTGGAGATCAAATAATAAACTAGAATATCTTGGACATATAATCAAAGGACCAACATATGAGTTCCTTCAGCTAATTCTCAACAGTAAAATTGAAGGAAAGAAATGGATAGGGCGTAAGAAACTCGTGATACTTGAGATATTTGTGACAGGGGACAGGTTTAAATGCAGACCAAGTGTACATGTAGTCCAAAACCGAGATATAAGAATATTATAAGCCGGCGTTTTGGTAATAACCGGATCGGAGGAAATCTAATCACATAAATGGTCTTTAAGATCTCCGGACTTGATGCCGATTGACTTTTTTCTGGGGATACCTACAAAGTATAGTGTATAACACTCCATCAATTACTCCAGAAGATATGAAAGCTAGAATAAGAATTGTTTTTTAAACAGTAACAGGTGAAAGCTTTTTAAGAAGGAACTATCGTTTTAAAAACGAATTCAAATATTTTTAGAACAAGATAGGCCTCACTTTATTATTGAATTTTATTTGTTTCTTGCTTTTTCATTTGTCTATTTTTTATTAAATGTTTTTTTAAATAAAAATGGCTTATTTTGCAATTAATCATTTACTTAACATTATTAACATAACATATTGCAGATGTACATACAAAGTTTTTCATTTAAGTAATAATTTAAATGTAAATATCATGCTTCTCATTGTAGATTTTTCAATTAACTTCCGTATTTAATTATACCCAGCAAACGCAGTGTAGTATGATATCTTTTATTTAAATTTTGCATTATCGATTTCTATTTTTCCATAAAACTTCACTTTTATTTTTCAGCTTGGAATTGTATAGATCCTGCACGAAGAAGGATGTAAAGTCAGTAACACCACAGCAAAGGTTGCAGATATCAAAACGAACCATATTACTGTTGTTATATCTTCTACGATCACCAATGTATGAAAAACATAGCAAAGACAGAGTACACTCATTTTTAATGACTTTGAGTAAAGTTCCTCTAGCTGGTCTAATATTTACACCGTTAGCCCAGTATCTGCCTTTCTGGCAGAGTACATACTTCTATATGTGGTCTTCTTAATTTATCAATTTTCTGGGTTAATGATTTTGTAGTTTGATATAATTTGTTTTATATAATGTTCTCTCTAATTCCTTTATATTTAGAAACACTAGTAAGAACTGTTCGAAACCTGTTTGTGTGGCATCAGATTTTTAATATTATATGGAACAGCGCATATACATACATGAGTCAATATTATTTATGATACATTACCAATGAATTTGATCCAGCAGTGTTTTCTCAGAGTGATTTGAAAAGTTTCTATACTTCATGTGGCGATAATGTTTAGTTATGTCTGTATTTCTTTCCACACATTTCCGGGAATTCCTCTTTTCTCTTTTTGTCAATTGTGACAGTTCCATGCTTGTTTTTCTCTATTGTTTTTAATTATTTCAACGTCTGTTAAAATAAATACAATAACAATAGCATATATTTCCGTAAAAAACAAGACAAAACTTGCCCAAGCTATAAGGTTGTAGTGACTCGAAATAAGTCATCAGAATTGACACAATATTCATACAAACAGTGAACGTTCTGTAACATTTTACATGTCTCGAGACCAGCATTTCCATCAGAATTTCGACATATTTATTGCTATTTAATTTAATTACGAAGACATATAATTATATCGTATTTTATTGTATTTTTGTCAGTTGGATATATAAAGGTATGAGGAATAAACTTTGTTGAAAGCTATTATGGTATTTGGTTGGGTGATTGCGAAGATTTATATACCTATAAGATGTAAAATTTGTATATTTTTATATGTAAAATATAGTCGTAAGTTAAATATTGAATATTGTTTTATTCTATTCCAGCCCTAAGAAGTTTTTTAAAGTAACTGCTTTAACGTAAGCATTCTTAAATAATTCATCAATTTGATAATGCGTTTTTTACACTTCCAGAATGTAAGGCTCAAGAAAATAACATCAAACACATTATTTTCTGTAAGTCAAAACCCTAAGGTTTTACGACTAGAATGGCCATCAAGTATCAACTTTTTTCTGAGATAGCTTTACAAATTTAATGAAATGTTTTATTACATACGTAAATAGCGAGTCTTTTAAAACGCAAACCATTTCTGGCTATTTTTGAGCCAGCGATTTCTGTTATCCAGTCATTTTGACCTAATTCTCTCGCTGCCATTGCTTCTTGGAAAATAAAATTATAAGTCCTCGGTTCTTCCTTCCAACGGCTACTCACTGCCACATTCTTTTCGTTACACGTATAGAATACTAAAGGACTAGAAATAAAACAAGCTTTAGGTCAGGTTCCACACCAATTTTTGAACCGTTTTTGTCAACACATTCAAAGATCCAACAAAAGATCAAGCCATAGTCTTTTCCAGTATTGAAGAAACTAAAGTTCATGACTACATCATAGTCGTCGGTTTACTAATTGGTCCACGTAACGTATCTTTCGCTTTCAGAATCGCCAACAATAGTATATGTTTATATCTTTCTTCTAAAAATACAGTTGAATCACTGCTTCATTCCCACAAATATGTTAATATAAAAGAAACTCAAGTAGAAATAAGAAGACTTATCACTTCAACTCAAAGACTAGTAATATCAAATGCTTGCTCCACTGTTCCAAACACGTTAATTGAGCAAGAACTACATAAGATGGGTATAAACCCATGAGTAAGGGGCTAAGTGTTCTGAAAGCGAATACAGCCAAGTCTTGAATTTTAAAAGGCACATATTTATTAGACCTTTATAAAATACATCTATTCCTGATTCGTTCATCATCTCTCATAAAAATACCACTTACCGATTATACCTTTCTATAGAAAGATTTAAGGTACAAAATGCAAGACTATTGGCCACTAGGAAGCTGAATGCTCTGACAAAGCTAATCCAACCACTTCTAATGCACACCCAGATACTTCTCAAAACATATTAACTACAGTAAATGCATCTAATAACAAAACAGAACAAACTGTTACTGACGACAACATGACAGGATCTATAAATAATACAAGTGAAATAATCCTCCTTAAAAACCTCAACATCAGCAATCCTACTCCAGTAGAAATAACACTATCTTCAATTATTACAAACTTCTCCAATCAACTAAAAAGGCTCATCTCATCTTCTCCAGGCATTAACGAAAATACCCCACAGACCGATTTACAGATCTTCACTTCTGCAGTAAGCAAACCAAAGAAAAAGTCAAAAACGTCAACCAGAAATTTACGCGAAGAACTTTTGCTTTCTCTAGAGTCAATTAAAGACTAAATAGAAAACATATCACCACCATTTATCCTAAACTATAATGAAATAGGTGACTTTCTGGAAAACACTATTTGCTAAACATTCTGAAATTATTTCAAAAGACTACTCGAATGAAACTGCCGAGCTAATTGAAATCCTTAATTTTGTTTACTGTTACACCCACAATTCAAAATTAAAAATAATATCACTAGGTTAAAAAAATAAACTAAACACTGATAATCTCTCTTCCACAGAAGAGACAGATAAACGACTATCTCAGTCAGAATTCTAATATGTCTAATTCCTTTATTTTACAGTGGAATCTGAATGGGTTTTATACCCATTTAGAACACTTAAAATTTTGCCACTTAAAAATGAGCCCTAAGATCTCATGTCTTCAAGAAATTCATTTTAAACAAGCTAATATAAATCTTCGAAATTATTAATGTTTTCCAAAAAAAAAAACAGAATAGTACAACAAGCCAGTGACGGGGTAGCTCTTCTTCTTTGTCAACCATTTTCCATCCACTCCTGAATGTAGGTCTCTCCCAATGGAGCAGACATTTCCAATAAAATGGTGAAGGGTGCAATGCGTCGCGACAGGTTTATCCAAATAATGCGTTTCATGCACTGTTACAGACTTCTTTTCTCAAATATTATCAACCAACTGAAAATATGAATTATGATGAGTCGATGGTGAAATATTATGGTCGCAATCATTGTAAACAATCCATTAGGCGAAAACCGATAAGATTCGGTTATAAAGTATGGTGCCTTAATTCCGAAACTAGTTACCTTGTAAATTTTGAGATCTATCTTCGAAAGTAGTGATTTTTTACCAACTTGCATTTGGAAAGGCAGTCGCTCCCCTTGTCTCGATGCCACAACAAAAGCTGCCTTACCAAATCTATGTAGATAACCTTTTTACTGGATTAAATTTAATGGTGTATTTAAAAGAAAAAGGATATGGTGTCACAGGAACAATAAGACAGAACAGAATACCTCAAGACGTTCCACTTGTCAATAAAAAAAATTGTCTTCACATTCTGAAAAAAAAAAGTTGTCCAAGTTCCTCGCCCACATGTTGTTGGAACATATATAACAAATTTATGGGAGGCACTGATATAATGGATAAGGATTTAACAGGATACCGTATAAATATTCGTAGTAAGAAATGGTATTAGTCTATACTTACATGGTTTATTGATGCTGCAGTGCAAAATTCCTGCATACTTTCTAAGTGTTCGGGAAGACCGACAACTAATTTGAATTTTCGACGTGAAATCGCGACTACTTACCTTACCAAATTCAGAAACCTTCCCATTAGACCTGGTAGATCAACAACAAGTAGAAATAGTCTATCTTTTAACAGAATCACTGACAACATTGGGTACGATGGTATTAGCCATCTCATTATACCTCTTAAAAAAACCAAGGCGGTGCGCAGGAAAAGGGTGCTTTTTCATATTTCATAAAGAGTAAATCTTATATTTTTATAGTATTTTGACCTAGTGTTACCATATGGTCAAAGTTTGTAATGTCATATATTCGATAAACAAATCAAATTTAATAGGTTTTTTTGCCCATTTGTATTTTTCCTAAACTAATGAAAATGCGAGGAATTGGTAAAAAACCACCAGTTTAACCAAAAAAATTAATTTAAGCTTTGATGGATTAATGTTTTTTTTTGCATTATTAGTTTGCTTCATTCTAATTTTTTATTGATTTCTATTTTTACATCTTATTAATCGGTGGTCACTTCCAAGACTGAATCTATTGACTAGAGTAGTACCCTTTGGGAGTTTAATAAGTCTTTTTATTTCTTCTGATATGTTGTTTTTGGGCTCAGATAGCCTTCTTCCTGAGAGGGTTGAACTATCACAGCTTTTTGAAATTTTGTTTTGAGTGACTGCTAAAGCCTAGATTGATTTATTACATCTAGTTTCTATTTATCGAATTATAATAAAAAAATAATACGGATTGTGTGTTTAATAATATGTATATTATATATCTCGGGGAATTATTGATTTTACGATTTTTATTCCTTAAGAATTTTTCCTGCAAAACTAATAAAACTCAGAAAATTGTTTAACTCTTTTTATTTACCCTAGTCTTTTATTACACTAGTAGCATAATATAAGTAAACTTGAAAAATTCAAAAGAACGACACAAACAGACAGTCGGTCGTTTGAATTTTCCGTAAAATTTGAAAATTGACTAGAGTTAGAGAAACATATTTAGGAATGCATTTCAACATTATATACAGCTCGTCGTGTTAACAAGGTACATTGCACTTGGATAAAAACGTATTTATATACAATAAATCATTTAAAAGTAGTAAATAAATCTACAAAAGTTATTGCGTATACTTAACGAATGAATAGTAAAGCCAGTTTAGAAGAATCAGTACGTATTATTTGTGATAACTAGGAGATACAGTTCTATAGTAGACAGATACATTACAATATCAGCTGTACATGGTGATTGGGAAATGCGTATGTGTTACAGTTAGAAAACATTCAATAAAAACGTTTAAACCTCCACCAATAGTGCTTGATTACGAGAAGAAATACAAGACTTATTCATTTTGCTCAATAATCTAGCTCTTTATCACCTTCGAAAAAGAGTGGTTATCGAAAGTCCTCATAAAAGATGTGTCTAAAAGACAATAAGTGGCACCTTATGCAAGTGCAAGTGATTGATGAAATTAATGAAGATGATTTCGATCGTAGACAAGAATTTTGTAAATTCTGTTAACGTGTGGGCGGGAATAGTTGCTAATAAAATTGTGGGCCCATTTTTTATCATTGAACGGTGACAAGTATTTTGAGTTACTTCAAGTTCAAATCTTTAGCTAGCGGACAATTCGCTATGGTACCAGCATGATGGAGCATCACCGTATAACCGACACCACGTGCCTAATATTTTTCCTAATATATGAGTTGGCAGACGAGGATTTTTAGATTGGCCAGCTAGATCTTCTGATTTGTCCCCACTAGATTTTTTCTTATGGGGATACTAAAGTCTAAAGTTTACGTTAATAGACCTAATAGTATTGATGAACTTATGGTAGCAGATAACCACTAATTTTTTAATTTAATTTTAATATGACAGCCCGACACTATATTCAGGAAGAGAATGCCAGACCGCACGTTGTCAGAGAATCGTTAGTTTTCATGGATCAACATGACATCAACCATTTATCTTGGCCACGATCGCCTCATCTGTCTACATTGAACATGTCTGAGACATGATAGATCGTGAATTTGCAACACCCTCCACAGACTTTAGCAGCTCTTACTTACGAAGTTGCAGTAGCCTGGAATGATATACCATAACAGGATATCGGTGTCAATGAGCGTATAAGAAATCGTGGATCCTCAACACATTGAACCAGCTCTGCATTAAATTGACGTATCAAGCTGAAAACGATTATGATGAATTAATGATTTTACTAGTATGGGACACTGAACATGTATACCAAAAATTATTAAATTTGGATAAATATATGTGTGTTTACCATTTTTTATCACTGAATATATTTGAGGATGACAAGTGCGTGAAAATTCATAATTGCTACATGGTGTTGAAAGTCCTTTTGCAATAAATCAGTGAACTGATGTGGATTTTATGGACTATTGTGTAAAATAGATGTACCACCCAATATATTGGTTATAAAGACTTTTGAGTCTCATTAAATACACAATGATACTCTCAGAATAAACACAACGCTATAGTTTCCTAACATAACCGCATTTCCCAACAATATACCTTACAATTATACTTTGGTCCACGATTACCAATTTGAAGAAACTTTCACACATTCATGAAATCAGTTTAGCAAGAAAAGTCTCGTAATATAAAAAATAAAGATTGGTCTTTTAATAAACGTTGATGAGATCATCATTCGAAAGTAGTTCACTACGTATAATGAAGTTGTACGTGAAAATACAGTGAAACAATAAAAATCGACTCCTGTACACTTGCGTAAACAATAACAATTTACGTATTTAAATAAGTAAAACATCAGTCCTGCCTTCTGATACAAAAAACCTCTTTATACATATAAAAACATTAAAAAATAAATAAATTATCTAACATTACAATAACAGTAAATGTGTACCTTGTTTAACAGATAAGATATATATACATAGTTAGAAAGGAGTGGGGTCCTTCAAAAAACAACGTAGGTCCTATATTTACAATACAATATACATAAATACTGAATAATTTGAGTGCTCTTTTTCAGAAAGTTTTGTATAAAAAAATTTAAAAATCGTTAAATAAAGAGCTTGAAATATAATACACAAAGTAACTTCAGATATATATAAAAAAAGATATACATAGTAGTTAGTAGTAGTAATAGTAGTACGAGAAAGACAATGGTAGAGATTTCATATTCTAACAACGATCAGAATTTGACAAAAATGCGATTAAAACTTTGATACTTTTAGTACAATAAAGATTTATTAGTTTTAAGGAAGCTAATATTACTATTCAAATTAGTAATTTTATCTCCATGTTTATGATTTTACTGTAAGTGTAAAGCATTTGAAGTCGCCTCGATGGCTTGGCGTACTGGTAGATACACTTCGAAGTGTGTACTAGGGTCATGGTTCGAACTACACACTGGTTAGAGAAATATTTCAAATATAGCAGTATAAAATCCAAAGTGGAGCTTTGGTTTTGAACTTAATCAACGCGATGCTATGCAAGGGCAATGGAGAGAATAATGTTGGGGATTTCTCTACGTGATAGAATACCCAATGCTACTATACGCAAAAGATCAGGAGTAGCAGACGTTATTGAAAGAATAACAACACTAAAGTGGAACTGGGTAGGCCATGTAGCAAAATGATGACCGGTGGACAAAAAGAATTTTGGAATGGAGACCCCGAATATAAGCTAACAGAAATAGAGGTCGACCCCCAACGAGATGGACAGATGACATAAAAAGAGTGACTACAAATTGGATTCAGATGACGCAAAATCAGACTAAGTGGAAAAGCATGCGGGAGGCCTATGTTCAGCAGTGGACGTTAGAGGCTAGTTGATGATGATGATGAATACTTAGAAAAGCCAGCAAAACAATAATACAAGATGTAAGAGTACCTATACAGACAAGCATAATGTGTTAGTAGTCACCTATTAGTACTAGGGCAATTCATATACACGGAAATACGACAAAAAGACAATATCCAGAGAGATGAGGAGATGCAAAACTTGCAAATACGAGGCATAAAGTAGAACTTCTACAACAATTTAGTATTCGAACACTGTATCAAAATAGGCAACAGAATATGCTACATTTGCATGAAGAATGGACCCCAACAGAAATGTATCAACAACTAAAGGAAAAAATAAACAAAGCTAGCTCTTGAACAACACAAGAATAAATCTTTGGAGAAATACAGTGGCGACCTAAAAGAGATGATTAAAAGGAAAAAAAGTACGTTTCATACATGGCTAAACGACAGAACCCCAGGAACACGAGAAGAGTAAGTTATCCTCAGACAACAAGTGAAGCAAACAATAACGCTCGAGAAGAACAAATACTGGTAGGAATGTGCAGAGATATCGACAACACGATAGGGGATAACAGATCAACGGAAGCATGGAAAAAATAAAAATATTATTTAGATAAATACATCAAAGGAGTGGACAAAGCATGACATAAATTATTGCAGAAGAATAGACCGGAGTATATGTAACAACACCCTGTGACAATAATAACAGAAGAAGTCGAAATAACAGAGGAAGATATAAATAAAACACTAAAAGCCAAAAATAACAAAGCACCAGGACCAGGGAACACAAATATGGAACTGCTGAAATATGGAGGCGCAAGGATCATCGAAGAGGGAGAGGAGATTCCAAAGGAGTGACTCTATTTTGGAACATGAAGATCCTTTAAAACTTTTGGAATATGGTGTAAAAATTAATTGAAAACTGATCAATACCATCAGACACACAGATGATACAGTTATATTGAGCGATGACTTAAATGGATTGCAATGTCTTTTAAAGTTCATTAAAACAAAGGGGCGAGAGATGGGACTAAAAATTAATTGTCCTAAAACAATATACAAGGTATTTAGTCGCTTACCTTATCAAAATAGACAATTACAATACTAATTGGGCAACCAATACAAAGAGTATACAATTTTTAATATCTAGGTTGTTATATTACCGAACAATTAGATCCTGATAGAGATTAAGTGTAAAATTAAGATGCTTCGTGAAGACTTTTTAAAAATGACGTTACTCTTCTGTAACTGAGTCGAAGCATGGACCTTGAAAATATCCACTATTAACCGTTTAGACAATTTTGAAGTGTAGTTGTATAAACAAAGAATGTCAGAAATACGGAAAGTCGAATAACTATTCAGAATAGCTCAAGACAGGGAGAGTCTTGCCATGTTAATCGATAACGTCAATGAGACTTGATAAGGAACGTTAAGAAGAAGAAGAAATTGAGCTTAATTTCAAATATAAAAAAGATAACTAGATTATGTGGCAAATAGATATTACGGCAGACCAAAGCTTAGGCCAACGGATGGTGCAATACATAATACAAAGAAGATTAAAACTTTCACTTAAAAATTTTAAGACGAATGAGGTACTCTAGAGGTACTAATGAGGTTGTAAGATCATAATAATAATTGTTTTAGTTTTGATATTTATAATTATTAGACTCCTACAACTAATACCTACATAATGTCAAATTCTGACTGTAATGATTCAAACAACAGTTTGTTCAACAACTTAAAGAAGTCCTAAGTACTGGTTTTTATTATACACATGAATAACAATAGAATCTTAACTTAGAATCCTCTAAGCAACCATAAAAGTTCACGATCAGTTTAAGATCTTGATATTTTAAACCAATTAAGCATAAATAAATAAATATTAAGTATTATTTTAATCTCACGGAGCAAGATAGCAATCTCATTAAAGTAGTTCATGAACGTCATAATAATTAATGAATATTATTTATTGAATAGACTAGCATATGTTCTAAATACTTGCCGGTCACATCAATAAGCGATAGATTATTACGTGCGCTGCTTCATCGCCTTTGATAATGACGAAACGTCATCAACGAACAATTTTAGACCACGGCATATAAACTCCAAAATAATGTGCCATTATACATATTATAATACATATCAAAAAATCTCAAGAATTAAAAAAATCAGTTACCCTCCAACCTTCTTCTTCTTCTTAGGGTGCCTGTCCGTTCCGAACGTTGGCGATCATTCTGGCTATGATGACTTTGTTGGTTGCTATACGAAATAGCTGTGTTGAGGTCTTTCTTTACCAAGCTCTCAGGTTAGCAAGCCAGGATATTCTTCGTCCTGAGACCCTTTTTCCATCAATTTTACCTTGCAAAATGCATTGAAGTAGCTCGTATCTGCCTTGATTTCTCATTGTCTCAAGTACTGCAGCTTACGACCCTTCACGATGTTGACCAAATCCGCAGTCGTGTTTTCCTCCGCAGTACTTCTTCATTGGTGACTTTGTCTGTCCATGGTATCTTCAGGATCCTTCTATAAAACCATAGCTCAAAAGCCGGAAGTTTTGATAGAGTTTCAGCTGTACAATTTACTTGAGTGTAGCTTAAACCAGTTGTTTATTGAGATGAAATTGTCAACTGATTTTGCCACTTCTTTTTTAACTTTACTGTCTACGAGAATGCCTACAGCATACAAATGAGATGGATCTTCTTACAGCACTCCGTTTTTTATTGTGCATTTTCCAGTCCCTTGCCATCAAACATCGATCATTCCTAATATATTTATTTGTAGATGTTGCACTTCCAAACTTTATTACCCTATTCTAATATGAGCTCAAATAGGGAAATGTATGTCAGGTATGTTAGAAAATACATGTAATCTGTTGTTTTGGCATTAAAATTTTAATAATCACTTGTAGAATCATGAGAATCACTCTTAAGATAATTATCCTCCTGAATATACATATAATGACGGTACTGTGCTGGCAACTATTAAGAACTACACTATAGTAGGGTATATATTAAATAGGTATAAAATCAACTGTTCAAGTATTTAAATTAAGCTAGTAAGACAAAAATGGAAATTAATATGTTAAAAAAAGAACTTTAAGTTCTGCTATAGACTGGATAAACTTTCACAGAGAAGCGACAAACCGTTTCTATCGATTCGATATTTGCTATAATACTCACTGGAAGAATGATATAACTATAAATATGTAGTTCATAGGACTTCTTTAATTAATAATATATTCAATATCGACAAAGTGAAATATATTTAAATAGATCGTAGTATCTACCCGCAACCAATATCGGGTATATTCGGTATAAACGAATAAAATATATATCACCTAATACAATCCAATGTACAAACATTATATTTTTTTATCTAGAAACCTGCGGTACAGACTTATTTTCCGCACTTTCCCAAGTGCGAGAAATAACAGTTATCACAATCCGTGCTTAAATTGCCAGTTAAAAGGGAAAACCATCGCTAACTTTTTACATCGACAAATTTTGATACAAAAGGTACATTAGGTGATGATAAAGGTATTTTTTAAAATAAGTGTTTTTAAACTAAAAGTATATACATATTTGTTCGTAACATAAGGAAAACAAACAAATTATAATAATTACTAAACATGGTACTTTTATGTCATGCTATTGTTAGTGTAAACCGACCTTGTGTTTTCAATCAACGAATAATTCAATTTTACTATACTTGCAAAGCTGGAACTTCAAGAAATAAAACAGATACATCTCACAACGCCGGAAAGATTTAATAGACTATCTAATAGACTAGAAATATTTAGTAGATTATATTTTAGTAATATTTAGTAGATTAAAAAAATATTTAGTAGATTATTTATTACTGGGACCTGGTCATATTTGCTGCAGCATGATGTAATTATGTAACACATTTTTACTACTATCATCATCGTCATCACTGGCTCGACAACCCTTTTTAACCGTTGGCCTGTTCTAGGATTCTTCTATATTCTGATCGAGCTTTTTTCCAATTTTCTATTTTTAAGGTTATCATTTTTTATTTGCTCTATATAACAATACATCACCTAGCAACCGAGGCCTGAAATGCTTAAGATCAAACTTAGGAAAGCCTATAATAATCTCATTGAAGGATAAAGATGGCAAAGAAATATTATATTTCTCATGATTTATATTCCTCAAACAAGAACCCAACTAACACTGCAAAAGAAGATCTTAAGAGAAAGATAACGAATGTCAACTCAGAAATACTCCCTAACATAGAATCCTTCGAAATAAAACAAGCTATGGCACAACTAAAGAACAATAAGGCTCCGGGCCCAGATGGAATACTTGTAGAAAGGTTAAAGGAGGAGAGTGAAATTATTCTCGAAGAATTGAAAAATTTTACAACGAATATCTTTTTAGAGGAGAAGTCCCAGATGATTGGAATGAAAGTTTGACAATACTTCTCTTCAAAAAGGGAGACAGAGGGGATCTGAAGAACTATAGGCCAATCTCCCTGCTGTCCCAAATGTACAAACTGTTCATGAGAGTAACTAACAGGCTCCCTGTTAATATGCTTTTCAGCTATAGTAATTATAGCTTTTTTAAAACGATAGTAGAATTTAGGTAGTGGGGTACAAACCGGATATACTTCTCTAGTTAAATAGGTAAAGAAATAATAATAAGACTTACTCACAATCAATTTAATTTAACAATCTGACGACCGGTTTCGCTTTCTACAATTTGCAAAGCATCTTCAGGTCTAGATACAAAGTTAAACTAATGCTGCAATAAAATAAACCCAATTAGGGTGGTGTCTAATAAAGATAAAATAAACAAATAAGTTAGTTCATACAAATGATAGTAATTATGCCAATATTACATGTCTGTGGTTTTCAAAATGAATAAATTTGAATATATAAAAGGTATTAACAGACAAGGTAAGACCCACAATTGGTATAAAGTAGTAATATTATATTGTAATAAATTAATAAATGAGCAGATAAATAAAACAAAACAAACATTACTTACATGCCGGTACTCTATTAACTGATGGATGGTAGGTCATGGTTGCAAAAATCATGTATTGTTGATTGGAGAACTTTAATGTGCTATTGCAGTTGTTTTGACAATAAACGGGAAGTTCTTGAGGAGAACAGATTTGATCCAATGAATTAGAGATAGGTATATTGTGGTTGTTTGTCAGATGAAAGTGATGTTCTTTACTATTGTATTATTTAAATTATTTACACTTATATCAGAGATATATTTTTGGAATGTGTGTTATTTATTGAGTATTTATGTAATGAAGGAGACAGTTTTATGACAATGAATAAGAGTAGCTGTACCGATTGTGTGGTTGTGCAATTATTTTGACTTGTAATTATCAAGTCTATTGGCAAAATTAATCAATTATTGTAAAGTCAAGTATGTAAAAAGTATATAAAAAGTATATAAAATTATTACAAATTAAGACAATCAGGGACAAATTAAACACACATTAACAGGAACAGAAACACTAAATGACGGGACAAACATTGAATTTAAAACTTAAACTTGGGGGATGGAAGAAACTGCAAGCACTACATCTCACTGTTGGGAGTAACAGTGAGATGTAGTGCTTGCAGTTTCTTCCATCCCCCAAGTTTAAGTTTTAAATTCAATGTTTGTCCCGTCATTTAGTGTTTCTGTTCCTGTTAATGTGTGTTTAATTTGTCCCTGATTGTCTTAATTTGTAATAATTTTATATACTTTTTATATACTTTTTACATACTTGACTTTACAATAATTGATTAATTTTGCCAATAGACTTGATAATTACAAGTCAAAATAATTGCACAACCACACAATCGGTACAGCTACTCTTATTCATTGTCATAAAACTGTCTCCTTCATTACATAAATACTCAATAAATAACACACATTCCAAAAATATATCTCTGATATAAGTGTAAATAATTTAAATAATACAATAGTAAAGAACATCACTTTCATCTGACAAACAACCACAATATACCTATCTCTAATTCATTGGATCAAATCTGTTCTCCTCAAGAACTTCCCGTTTATTGTCAAAACAACTGCAATAGCACATTAAAGTTCTCCAATCAACAATACATGATTTTTGCAACCATGACCTACCATCCATCAGTTAATAGAGTACCGGCATGTAAGTAATGTTTGTTTTGTTTTATTTATCTGCTCATTTATTAATTTATTACAATATAATATTACTACTTTATACCAATTGTGGGTCTTACCTTGTCTGTTAATACCTTTTATATATTCAAATTTATTCATTTTGAAAACCACAGACATGTAATATTGGCATAATTACTATAATTTGTATGAACTAACTTATTTGTTTATTTTATCTTTATTAGACACCACCCCTAATTTTATTGCAGCATTAGTTTAACTTTGTATCTAGACCTGAAGATGCTTTGCAAATTGTAGAAAGCGAAACCGGTCGTCAGATTGTTAAATTAAATTGATTGTGAGTAAGTCTTATTATTATTTCTTTACCTATTTGATATGGACTCACACAAGCAACACATTCATGACTTCTCTAGTTTTTTGTATATTTTTCCCAGTCAGTTCTTTATAAATTCCATCTAAGCCGTGGAAAGGAGCGTACCAGGGGTATAGTTACACCAATCTCTAAGATGACAGGCCTATGCTGGCTGTGTGGTAAGTCTTTAGCAACGTTTCTGTATGTAGGCAGTGGTTTTCTCTAGTTATCGGTGGTTAAAAAAACAGAGGTCCGGATTGTAATCTCTGCGCCATGCGGCATATATCGTTGGGTGTATGTATACAGGAAGTATAGTACGTGGTCAGTTTTGATTTGGGGATTTGTAAATATTTATAATATGTCTTATATTGTATACTTTTATGTCTACAATATGAATGTTGCTTTCTGCACTGACGGAGTGTAATTGTGCATTTTCAATACCGTTGCAGACATACGTGTGATGGTAGGTTGCAACTATTTGTTGAAAACCATGGATGCGTCCACTTCTTTGTATGTTCTCTTCTGAGTCGGCATGCACTTCTTGCAGGAGTACCATATCTAGAAGAAAATTTGAGACGTATTCGGATTTGGATCGATAAATTTCCTCGATATTTAACTGGAGGTTCCGGACAGATGGTTCCAATCGTCTAGTCGGTTAACTCCTAGAGAAACCATTTATTTGATCGCTTCGATACATGTAGTTAGCAGATTCTAAAGGATAGTCGGGTGGCCAAGTTTATAGAATATTTAGCTGTGTATTTAGCTACAATTGCTCAGAGTTCACCACGTGGGGGTTTGCCTACTTTTAACTTTGCACTAGGTTAGGTTTGACTAACAAATACAAACATGGCTATTCTAACTTTATTGTCCGCTGCCCTGAAAAGTCCTATAGTAGTTAGGTCAAACTATTTTCGTAGAGTATGAAGCCGGTTATATAGTTGCTCATGCGCATTATGTGGCGTTCTAGTTTGCGTCATTTTATGGACAACACATTTCGCGATTTGAGAAGTATATCTATACAAGAAAGACTAGCTCCATTATTTTATTAAAAACACTTATAGTAAAAATACCTTTTAGAGCTAAAATTGATAACAATTGAAAAGAAAATATTTGCTCCAAACTTTGCGACGGTTCTCCGTACTAAATTGAATAAATTTTGGACCGATATGAGAAGTCATAAAAGTTCATTTATGAACATTAAAAGTACGTTTCGACAGTTGATACTTGAATAAACCTGTACAGTAAAATTAAAGGCAGTATATGTTAAAAACGCATTTAGTATCAGTAGTCGAAGTGTACCATCAACAATACTTAAGAAAGGACTAAGTCTAGTTTAGAATACATAAAAATGTTTGCGTAGATTTCACCAGCTTATGAATTCACAATTTTAGAATTATATTTGTTTGTACTACAATAATTGTTATTTAAGTCCTACTTTTCGGTACCTGCCAATTTCAAAATGGTTTTTTATTACTATATATATAATTTTATTTCTAGATCTATAAGTTAGCATCAATTATTTGATTAATTAGCGGGAGACATAAGGTTTGTTCCAACACAACGAAAAGCCGTCACATAACGGTCACGCTCCTGCGCAGCTACCTGCGTACTAGGATCGTTTTAAGAAATACCGTCATCGGACGATACAAATGATGAACATGCGCATGAACAAGCGTAACGATTTCTGGACGTATAAAAATTGTATGTTGAAACAAACTTATAAACATAGAATATAATAAAATAATAATTGAATACAATATTACAATTTGGTTCTGAAGCTATTTTTTTGTGGAATTTTAATGTTATTTACTATCTTTAATGAGAGTTAGAACCAGAGTCTTGAGATGCTAGGCATTCTCTACCCTTTTATATGGAGTTGAAGCCTGGACAGTTACAGACGCAACTGAAAGAAGATTTGTCAGCTTTAAGATGTGGTGTTATCGAATAATGTGCAAAATATCATGAACACAACACGTAAAAAACATAGAAACATTAAGAATGAGAAAAACTGAGCTACCTTGGTCACATACTAAGAAATTAAAAATATGAGTTGATCCGATAGGTTATAAAAAGGAAAGTGGAAGGAAAAGGGGAGGACCGGGAAGATGACGCACGTCCTGGGTGAAAAATTGAAATCAGTGGAGTGGAAATACAACAATAGAACTCTTCAGAACTGCTGTAAACATTGTAAAATGAGTAGTAATAATCCCCAATGTCCTTAAAGGATGAGGCACACGAAGCAGAAGAAGAATGGGAACCAGTTGAAAAAATACAAATTAAAATTTGTTTAATTTATATTTTGAAAACTATTTCGGAAGTGGAATCAAAATAAACGTATTTTCAACTGAAAAGGTGATTAATTCCAATGAAAATTAGTAACTAACATTATAATGTGATGTAGAGTTAGAAATGAAAATATTATTATTTTGATTTCTGTGTGCGAATTAATAATTGGGTTTCCATTGCAATATCAACGTTTCAAACCTTTTAATTCAGTAGAAGATATGAAAGTAGTAATTTCTTCTTTTTTAGTGATGCTCTTCTTTTTTATTCTGGTGATGTAGGTTTTGCTTTATATTTAATAATATACATAATTTAAATTTTTAAATTTGTGTAATAAAAAGTTGCAAATTTCAAGGAAACTAAGGGTGTAAGCATTTCTGTCGTTGATTTTTTCTTTAATTTCTATAAGCATGGTTATAAAATCATCCTAAATTTTTGGGATTTTTTTAGATTTTTGTTTGAAAGAAGAGAGAAAGGAAAAATATCAAGAATATATTTGTCTTTTAGTGTTATGGAAGTTGAGTTGCTGCAAGTGACCGGAAAATTATTTATATCATTGAAAACTTTTGTTTTCAACACTTCCACAAAATCACTACAGCTGTTTCGGTAGAGTGCCTTTCTCAAGTGATGTATTTTTAATATTCCTCTACACTTTATAGTCTTTAACTGAATAAGTTGAGAAGAGGAGAGCTGTCTCAAATTGGTCATCCAGAATTATATCTTCTATATAATTCTCATGAAATATAGTAGCTATATAAATGCCACAATGAAATAGTTGTATGCAGAACCATATGTTGATACTGGTATTATAAACTAAACTACTTTATTATATTGGCAGATACGGAAGTGATCAAATAACAATATATTTAAAAAGTGCGAGAGTTGTGCTAGACAATTCATTAAACCTGAATCATAAATTGAAAACAAATAACTCTTTTATATGTATTACTTTTTTCAAATTCACACTTCCTAGAAAAATAATGCTCTTACAGAACCTCGCCTGAATATTAGCACATTCATGAGGTCTTATGTTGCATTTATTATATTTACAAAAATCACACTGAAATCACTTGTATGTCATTTAGCCCATATGTGTTACACAAACTCTAATCATATTTAGGTTATAATTTTATTACGTATACTGTGAATAATTTTAATAATTATAATTGAAACATTTTATAACGAAAATTTCTATATAATCTTGGTTTTAAGAGTCAAGTTATTATTGATGAGAAAAGATTCTTAATCTTCCTGCGTCTCTGAAATTGATAATATAAACACTTTCGAGTCTGTTTATAATAATTATAATTGTTCTTTTGATTAATCTTTGTTCCGCCTAGATATTTGCGCACGAAATAAACAGGAATCTTTCCGCTTATGATTATAACGATGTTTCAGGATGAAGTCACTCCTCGATGGGCCGGTCGCGAAAGCAGTCAATTTCATTGTTGAAGTCATGAAGAATTTTGTCATCGGAAATTCGTTAGTGTAGCAGTCAATGAAAACAAATTGGGGTCTGAACGAGGAAACATGATTTTCGGTTAGAGTTTCAAAAACCGGCAAGTCTTGGCTTAACTCGATGAGTTTTGGTTAAAAGAAGGTGATTTGAGCTCAAAATGATATGTGACAGTCTTTGTATAGTGAGTTAGTTACGTCACCGGTTTGTTGGAAGCTGTTGTCTTTGTCAAGGAATTTGATAATGGGCTCCTGAAGGCTAAGTAAGCCGTTTTAAATGGAAAATAAGCAGCCGAGTTTTGTAGAAAATATATTGTTATCATTCAGGATAACCTGAAGCCCAGTTTGATGTTTGACATCTCCCGAGATTTGTCCAGCTTCCATTTTGTGCCTACCATGAGTCGGATCTAGATAGTTTGAAGTTTGTGTTGGACAGTGTTTTTTTTGTATTAAAATCTAAGGTAACAAACTTTTTTAATAATTTCAAAAGAAATAATTAACCAGTGAAGCGATTATTTTGTTAAATATTTCTAAAAATACATTTATCTTTCTTCTTCTTCAGGTGCCATCTCCGCTACGGAGGTTGGCAATCATCATAGCTATCTTAATTTTTGAGGCAGTAGCTCTAAATAGTTGTTTTGAGCTGCATCCAAACCATTCTCTCAGGTTCTTCAGCCATGAAATTCGTCTTCTTCCGATGCTTCTTCTGCCATCTATTTTTCCTTGCATTATGAGTCGCAGGATGCCATACTTATCGCCCCGCATCACATGTCCGAGATACTGTAGCTTTCTTTCTTTAATTGTAAGTTCAATTTCCTTCTCTTTGCCTATTCTTCTCAGTATTTCATTGTTTGTAACTCTATCTACCCAGGAAACCCTCATAATTCTTCTATAGGTCCACATTTCAAAGGCGTTAAGTCGTCTCATGGTATCTAGATTTAACGTCCATGATTCCACTCCATAATATAGTACACTGTATACGTAACATTTTGTTAGGCGTACTTTAAGAGCTAATGTTAGATCTTTGCCACATAGGACCTTTTTCATTTTTATAAAATTAGAACGTGCTTTTTCGATTCTGACTTTGATTTCTGCCGTGTAGTAGATGATAAACATTTATCTTTAATATTATATAATATATACCATGATTTGCTATCATTTCAGTTTAAAGGTTTATAAGTAAATATAAGTTTTATGGATCAGTTAATTGTCATATTTTAGTTTCTTTTAAATAAAATTAACTTTTGATAATTAATTAATAATTCAGAATAGTTGAATACTTTCATTTCGACATATGACAGTTAGTACACCTTTTCTGTCATTGGTACATAACCATATTGTTAAAGTCTGATTTGTTAGAAAGTGCATGTAACATTTGTTGCTAAACATAGTTTTAATTCTGTTACTGTAGAAGGTCCAATTCAATGTAAGGTTTGTTGATTAATTTAGATATTTTTATTTGTAATAACTGTGAAATGTGAAATAAAAATTAATTATTTAAAATGTTTATCTTTAACCAGTGACGTTCTACAATTATCACCCTTCTTGAATTCAGAGTCTATCTATGTCTGGATAAACTCTGACAGCTCCCGATGTTGTAGTAAGCGACCTGCCTCGCATAGGGAAAGGAGAGGAACCCCTCCGTCTCTCTCTAAGAGATTCTGTTTGACCTCTGAGAGGTAGCTCTCCAATTCCGCCGAGACAGGTACCGTGGTATACACTGACTCTTCGTTCTCCCGAGGTTCCAAATGGAACATCGAGCCAGTGTCGACTTTATTTATTAGGGTGTTGCGGGGAGTGTGTGTTCCTAAGGATGCACATGATGCGTTCCGACGTTCAATCAGCGCACGATCTAGATGAATCACTGGCAATGCGCCCGTGGATGTGCTGGGCACTTGAGAAAAGTGGTCCTCGGGAGATGACTCAATTGGCAGTACCAGTTTTCTTTTCTTTTTCTTCTTTTTACAGATTTTCACTTGTTGATTTTCTTTTTCGGTGTTTGGTCGTTCTTTCCTTCCTCCGCATCTGGCCTATTTGGTTGGTGTTGCCCATCCCCTCGTTCTACGGGTAGTTCCGTCTGTTGTTGTGTAGATGGAGGCTTTGGTGATGCTTGTTGCAGAACTCCCGTATTGGCCTGCTCCCTCTTATCTGTGGTAGTCTCCTCGTTGTTGTGAGGAGGCTGAGGTTCTGTGTCATCCTCATTTAAAACTTCCAAGTTGCCTTGTGCGTGTGCTTCTCACTGGGTGTTGTGACTTGGAGGCAGCCAATTTTTATTTCTCTATTTCTACGTACGGTGCATACATCTCCTTGTGATTTTTCCGGATTGTCTGCCCGGTACCCATAGATAAGCCAGTTGCTTTTACTAGTTCTTTCAAGAACGGGAAATTTGTTGGTTTACCATAGGTCAATTTAGCCTCCTTATCCGCTATGGTCTGCCAACTCTCCAAAACCTTGGATGGATTTTCCTCGCGGCTTCAAGTTCTAGTTCCTTTTGGCACTCTTTGGGATGGGCTTTCCGCTCGTGCTGCCGCGTACCAGGGTATAATGAAAAGGTTTGAGAGCAGTAATTGCAAGTTGTTCTTGCTTCCCGTTCTTGAGAAGAGAAAACTTCCTCTTTTTCCACTGTTTGTGTGTGAATATTGAGAATTGTGCTATTATTTCTTTGAGTGGCATCGCATTTGATTCTATATTTGCGAATGCCAATCCACATCGCACATTTGTGCGCACAATTTTCGCATGTGGGTTGCGAAGTGTTGGCGGAGGTGGGGATATTGGTAGTATTCAATCCCCCATTAGTGTTTGAGTTTAATTCCCCTTCCGTGAATGTCTCGTCTCTTGGCGGATTCGTCCTCCTTTTAATAGTGTAAAAAAAGGAAAATCGCGTAGAGTGGTGGGAGGTGTACTTTGTTGGGTGTCTTTGGAAAGAGCTTGAAGAGAGTCATAATTACTCCGAGTTGCGTAAGGCAAGGAAGGATAAGGTAAGGAAGCATTTTAATTTGAGTTCTTTTTGTCGTCGGTATTGTTTTGCTTTCGATAAAGTGTAGTTTTTGTATTCATTATTCCTGAAAGCGTGCTTTAATTGTACAAGTTCCTCTTGTTTGCTGGACACTATTAAGCTGTAGGTATCTTGTGATGCGCGTGTTAACCACTCGCATCACACGTTTACGATGGGTGATTGTGTCAGGCAGCATTTAGATTTTGTTTCTAATCAATTATTATTTGAATTTTTTAATTCCCTACATCTCTTATAGGGTCGCGACAAGGCCCAATAGAACAGCTGTTGAGGACTGCAACGGATCTTTCAAAAAAATATATTTCATAATTGCGCAATTAACTTGCTATAGAACAAAAATTTGTCAACTTTAATTTCTTTTTTGTTTTTCATGTAACACATATCGGGCAAATGGTACACCATACTTTGAAAATGCTTAACAACTTTTAGAATACAGATTCAGCCGACCTAGAAAGATGAATAGGATGAGATGGACTGCGAGCCAGTCGTTTCTTTGGCAGCTTATCGAGGATGTTTAGTAACCTGATGAAATCAGGCCTGTCGTTGGAATGGAATGACCAGCAGAGCATTAATATATCCTAAGTAAATAATAAAATATATTCTATATTTCCTGACCTCCCTATTTAATACACGATGTAGAAAAGAAATTGAACATACTTTTCGGTAATTTCCATTTTAAGCCTTTTACATTCAATCGTTAAAAAAATCACAACGATGAATAAAAAAATACCATAAAACACAAAAAATTATATAAACAAATATCGTATCAAACAAACTATTAAATAAAGTACCGAAATGTAGGTTCAAAATTGTGTTTTCTTTTGTGTATTGTTTTTTATTATTATAAATACCTACCTTTACATCTCTAGACGCTTGAAGATTCGCAAGGGGTTGTTTCATTCCTTTTCCTACTTGCCAGATGACAGCTTCTGGTGGTTGAGCTTTAAAAGGCCATTCACCACACAGCAATTCGTACCATACAGTTCTGAAAAATATATTTTAAAATTTACAACTAGTAACGGTGGGCTCAACTTTTAGACCTAAGAATAGATTTTGTACTGTGATTTTTATAATTTGAACAGATATTTGTATAATGAAATAGCTTACCCGAAAGCGTAGACATCTGAAGCCTTACTAAATGGCAGTTCTTCATCGTGAGGTTGATGTGCATGTAAACTTCGCATTATTTCCGGTGATAAATAACATAACCAACCGGGAGGTATTCCTAAACTATCTGTTCGCCTAAAACAAAATGTTACTATATGTACAATCCCATCAGACAGCATATATACCTAGATAATACATATACAAAACTTTTAACATAAAACAAATGTGTGTGTGTGTACTGTCGATATTTTTGACTAAATACCAGTGGCGGCTGGTCCTATGAGGCAGGTGAGGCAGTGTCTCACCAGTATATTAATCGACTATTTACGTTATTTTTAAAATTTTGCTAGATAACTTTATTTTTTTTTCCTCAAGAAAGGAGATCAAGCATCCTATAACCTCTCTTCAAAAAGGGAGACAAATCGGCCCGGAAAATTACAGAGGAATTAATTTATTAAACAGAACACTAAAATTAACAACCAAAGTGATACCAAATAAATTAAATGAAATTATAACACTAGCAGAAGAACAACAAGGTTTTAGGTACATTCTTTGTCAGTATCAGGAGGGATAATGAGTATCATTCTTTGTCAGTATCATTCTCCCTCCTGACACTGATAAAGAATGTAGTGCGTAGAATCTTTTAAGTAATTTTAAACTGTTTGTCCTTCTTTTAGTGTAGTGTTTTGTACAATTTTATGTTATTACTCATGTTTTTCACATTCTACGCTTGCTGGATAGCTCATATTTGACGAAATGCCCCTGAAGATGCTATTTTTCACAGTCTCGACCAAACTTTCAACGTGAACGTACACGTTCCCGCCAAAAGTGAAGACCCAGAATCCACAAAAACTGATCCAATCGTGAAACGTGTCGCGAAGAACGGTAATCAGCGTGAAAAACGGTCGTGAAAACTCGCGAACGGATCCACGGTACCGGTAGTGACACTTTCTGGACGAGAGGATCGCCAGAAAATAAACAAAAGGCGCGAAATTACCACGTGGAGGCGTGTCATGTAAGGCGCCAAAACTGGTAACTAGCACCGAACCGAACGGGCGTGGTACCAACCGGCTAACGGATCTTGCAACTGATACTGAAAAGTAAGGAAGCAAAGGGACGTTGGCATTGGTGCCTGTCTGGAGCTCTTCGCCGCAGAGTTCTCGAAACGATAAAGTGACGAACACTCAGGTAAAGTCTCACACACACACATACACTACACACACACACTTCACACACATATCAATCCCCCCCTTCCACATATACCAATAACCAATCCAAATTCCTTTTCCTACACATATTAAGTCCATCCTCAAAATCCAATCACAATTTCATACATTTACCAACCCAGCCAATTTCCTACACATACTAATTTCCTATAGATACCAATTCCTTTTCCTACAGATACTAAGTTCATCCTCAAAACCAAACACAATTACATACATATATCAATCCCTCCAATTTCCTATACACACTAATTTCCTACAAATACCAATTCCTTTTCCTACAGATACTGAAAACAAAACCATTTGTTCTAAGTACCTTTTCCACATATACCAAAATCCTAGATACCACATATACCAATTTCCTATCCTAATACTCACAGAGAACCCTCACCATGCCACGATCCCGATCCCGCAAGCAACCCGATCCACCTCAACCAGCGACTGCAGACACTGACTGGCAATCTGTATCCGGCTCTCAAATCTCCTCTTCTTCCCACACCTCACATGTCTCAGTCAGCATCGACGGACATGCACCACGGACGCAGCAGGAATGGAGACAGGCTCTGACAGAGATCTGTCACCAAAATCCTGAGGCGGCCAGCGAACACCTCACCCCCATAGTCCAGAAAGTCAATAACCAAGAGCAACAGCTAAACACACAAACACCAGATACCATAAGAAAAATCCTTCAGAACGCCTTCATGTCTGCAATACCTGGATATATCCCCTCCCCCTCACCTCCAAAACCCTTAACCCCTCCCACCCCCCCCTCCCCCCCAACCTGCACCCACACCCATACCTTCCACCCTCTCCTATTCCTCCTCCAAAACCAACCAAACCAGCTCCCAAACCTACCCCCAAAAACACACCCCACACACACAGATATTACATCACACTGATCCCTCAGAAATATTCCAGTCAACGAAAATTATCCAGAACCCTCAAAAACCACAATCTCCTAGGAGACATCCCATTCGAACTGGACACGGAAGCTTCCGAAAACCAGGCCATCCTTTATACAACGGGCCCTCTTCCCAGTCTTAAGGAATGGGAGAGGAGCCTAAGATCCATCACCGAAAGTCACATCTCCATATCCAAGCAAATTCCTTCAGAATTCATCGAAACCAAAAACATTACACCCAAAATCCTATCAACACCCAAGAAAACACCAACAAACACACAACCAATACCATACCAACCTACCCCTTCCACATCCAGAACAGATATCCCCTTACAAACCCCTCCAACCCTCCACCTCCCCCCTCAAACCCCCTCACATACACCTGAAATAGCTATACCACACACACCCCCAACACCACACCCCATACACTCACAAACCACCTCGCCTAACCCCAAACAATCCCTCCCCCCACCCCTCAGCAACCAACACAACACAAAAACTACAGAATAGAGGACATCCCCACCGATATCTGCCAGCAGAGACCGTTTTACCGATTCCTGATCCAGCACAACCTTATCCCTAGTTTAGACTCGCTTAAAGTCTTCCCAGCCCAGAAGGCGGCTTCAGTACGAACTACAAAACTCCTTGACATCGCTCACATCACGGCAAATCTCCGAAAAATCCTCCAAAATGACCAAATCCGAATAATATCCCGTCTACCTAAGACCCAAAATCCCTCACCCAATCCGAATAATTCATCTTCTATATTCCATCTTGTCATAGCCGGCGTAGCAAAAACATTTCCAATAAAACTCATCGAGGATAATTTATCCGAGAACAACTTCCCTTTCACCAAAGTAGTTCGTATCATCGCCCGATCCACTAACCAACCCACCTCCTATATCAGAGTATTCACCAGCTCTGAAACCAAGTTCGCCGAAGCACTCGCGAGTGGTGTCTTGATCGAGGGTGAACGGCTGGCCTGCGAAGTTCCGAGAGCAGGCAACTCCGTTCCCGTTCGATCTAAATACTGCTCGAGATGTTGCAAAAGCGGACATTTCAATACCGAATGCCCTGAGAAATCAATTGTCTGTCCGTATTGCGGACTCAACCACCGGTCTACTGCCTGCCCCACGATATCGACCCCCAAATGCCCTAACTGTAGTGGTCCTCATCCCGCTTTCTCACCACGCTGCCCTCACCGCAACACTCAACCAACAAACTATAGTCAAACCCAACCAGTGTACACAGAGAAACAAATCCCATCCTACGACCTCTCCTCTGATATGAAATCCCTCATTCACTTCTCTTCCATACTCCTTTTCAACGCCTTCCCTGAAAAGAGAAGTGCGATCTCCTACTACCTAAATCAAATTTCCAATGCAATGTATGGATGTGCCATAGCCACCTCATGCACCAACAATTTAGTCAAACAAACCTTCACCCACCTCCACATCTAAACACCACACCACACACACACAAACACAAAATCACACACACACTAATTACACTAAACACAACACTTTACCTATCCCAGCTCACAACCCTAATTAATAAATACCTAAACCCTCACCTAACAATATACCTAAAGTCCAAATTAATAAACATACAAAATACACACATACACAACACTACACTGTGAGCATCCAACACACTCCTTAAGAGTCGAATAATATACACAAGGACAGGGGGAGATTGGTTTTCTGTGGTTTCCCAATCTCATTGCACAATGATACCTGATCCTAGGTGAGGTCATAGCCACAGCTATCCTCCACGCGTTTTTCCAACAAACAAACAATGGCCAACAATCTGAAAGGAATCGTTTTCCAAAGAACTTGTACTTCGTGACAGGCTTGGTGGGCCTTACTAATTCTTCCGGAAGACGTACATCCGCCTCCTGCCTTCTTCTTGTTCTCGGCCCCCATCCTATCCTACCCATCACCACCCACTTTGACCTTTCAGCTCTTTAGCGGCGGCGCCCTTAGTCTTCGGAGTCCAACAAAGTCACACGGGCGAAAGCTAGCATTTCGAACCAAACAAGCACCAGCATCCAACAAACAAACCCACCCTTGAAGAAGCATAGAGCTTAAAGCAAGGTTAAAACGCATTGATTGATTGATGCTATTTTAAGCGAAAGTGCTTGGGCAAGATTTAATTAAACTTGTGCTCGATAATAGCCTTATTTTTCAAAGTTTATATCTATAATTGATTATAAAACTCAAAAAACTGGAATTTGCTAAGTGAGTCTAATAAATTGAGCAGGTACTGTATATATGGAGTCTTTTCATATAGTTTCCATTCAGTTATAGTAAAATAATATACCAACGCATGCAATTTGCGACCTCTAACGAGGAAAAATGAAGTCATGTAGATAACGATAAAAGTAATTTGTCAACCCAAGCTAATAAATCTTATAGGTCGATGTTAGGGATATTAAACGGAACGATAAACGATTTATATATGTTTGGTTGACTTTAAGAGCACTTATCTTAGAGCTTCAATTCTCGAAGAGCATTAATCCGGATTTCCAGATACTACAAAAAAGCGGAGATCCAATTAGCGCCTTAAAATGCTGGAGAAACAAGCAAGCCAATTAGATTAGAAATTCACGAAGATTGTAAGTACAATAATTAATTCCCAAAACACATTAATTACAAAAAAATACTTAATTGAATAATTACTTACCTATTTCCAAAACATAACTTGGTTACGCTAAACAGTCCAAAATCCGCTATGACAACTTTTCCATTTTCAACAAATATATTTTTACTTTTTAAATCTTTGTGTATAATACCCTTAGCGTGAAGATAACCCATTCCCTGGAATAAAATAATATAACTTTTAAAAATTTAAATTTATATATTTATAATAAATATTTAAGTTTAAAGTTTAAGCAGACTTATTAAACCATTTCAATCTTAATAAGAAAAAAAATCTTATAATATCCAGATATTATTTTGGTTTGATTATAGTATGTTGTCAATGACAGTAGATATAATCTTCAATATAATATTGTTTCCACATCTTAATAAATTAAAATTGCTATCCTGTAAAGTTATGAAAATGGACATTGTAGTGTTGTATTACATAATGGACATTGTTGTATTGTATTCGCTCCGTGGGTCTCCCCTCTATTTACAGTCACGTGACACGCTGTCAGATTTGTGAGGACGTTTTAGTATTGCGTCTTATGGGATTGTTTTGTTAAACTTAAATATTTTATTTTGTGGTGTTAACATCCGGATACAATTTTTAGAATTAATTAGTTATCTATTTATAGTGACATTTATAGTTCAGCAAAAATATTTTTTGTCGTTAATAAAGATATATTAACATAATCTACGAAAGTGAGGTTATATATACATGATCAACCAATGATCAACATCCATGGTACAATGAATATGTTCATTATACCATTCACAAAAGCGTCCTGATAAAATTTCAAACAATCGCCACCATGAGCAGGTCAGTCGATTTTGCTTTGACACTTTCTTAACCCTCGGAGCAAATACTCGAAGGGAAGATAGAGGGTAGGAGAGGTCTGGGACGTAAAAAAATGTCATGGCTGCGCAATATTCGACAATGGACAGAATTATTTAATCCTGAATATTTAACATCTCACCTGACAAGACGATGTACGGTGGACGCCTACGCAGAAATGCACGGCACCTTAAGAAGAAGAAGTGTTGTATTTCTCACAGGTATTACCGATATTTAGTACCACGAAATGAGAAGTAAGGATTTATTAATTTATGGTTATAATACATCCGGGCAGGCATCTACACTTGATTACTTATCCTTTAGACATTTAGACCTCCCAAGACGAGTCCATTGTATTACAAAATTTTGTTTATATAATACCATTTGGCCCAAGCCAGAGTTTCTGAACGGATAAACCCGGCCCATTAGAAAGAGATGCAGGGAATGCTTTGTGCCAGTTTTCTCTGTCGCACTGGGTGAACGCGAGTGTATGGCAGCAGCAAGTGTATTTGTATTATATGTCTATGCTATAAACCGAAAAGATCTAACCTAATACTCACCTGAGATATTTGCTGAGCTACATTCGTCGTTTTATTCATATTAAATTTTTCTTTTCTGAGATGTATGTGAGTGTACAATGTCATTCCTTTCGATATTAAACTGGTAACTATAGCCAACTTGGGCGGTTTCATGCACGCTCCCATAAACAAAATTAGATTTTCGTGCCTAGTTTTCCTAAAAGTCGAAACTTCGTTTTTAAATTGCTCTAAAGTTTTTTCGTCCTTTAAATAATTAACATTTAATACTTTTACAGCTACGTCACCGTGCCATTGGCCTCTGTATACTGTGCCGAATCGGCCCGTTCCTATGACATCTCCCATTTTTAATTCGTCGTAAGGAATATCCCATTCTCGCATTGAAAGCTAAAATATACAGAAAAGAGTACATATCTAGTGGAAATTAAATAATCAATTAATTTATGTAAATGATTAATTAAAAGCAATAAATTATATTCTACAATGTCATTGAAGTGAATCCTATTTGTATTTTATGGTACTTTTACAATGTTTTATGTTTTTACTTTATATTGTATGCAAGCACCGTATTAATATATTAAGTTTACTGAAGGATAGAGGTTTTATCAACACTTGAAGTAATTCAATTTCAATTGTTGTTACTAAATACAAAACCAAACGCAATACCATTTTCCATAGCTCATAAAACGGTGTAAAAACTAGTCAACTCCATCTATTATGTTTTTTTACCCAAATTTAGTTTTTATATGCATCATATAGAACAATGTTTGCACATCTTTTGGTGCCAGAATCAGCCATCTCCAACAAACAAATATTAAGATAAATACATGGGCTAGGGATTTGACTGCAACAATCAATACCAATACTTAGGTGCAAGAATCGGTCAACTCCAGGAAATGACTGTTTTCTTGCAACCAATGGTAACATTGGCAACATCGGAACATCAGGTCACGGGCGATAACAATCGGAATAGCATAGCATTACAATGATTTGTTTTGAACATTGCAGTAGTTTATCGTATGAATAAAGTGTAAAAAAGATCGTTGCATTATGAGTATTAGTTCAAGTAGTGGGTTTAGTGAGGAAGACGCTTATGCAGATTCTGGGACTGACTACGTGCTATCGAATTCCTCCGATTCTGATGTTCCTGGTCCTAGTTGACAGCGATCAAAGCATTTTGTTATTGCTAAAAAAGGTACACATGAAAGTAATGGACAGCAAAAACTTTTGTGCGTAATAATACAGAAGCTTAAAGCATTCAAACCGTTAAGAAAAAAGACAAAAAACTGAGAAGGATGGAAAGCAAATGGAAAACGAAACGTTATGAAAACTAAACAGGCTAGAGGAGAAGAATATATTAATTCGGCAAATAAACTAATTCAAAATAAAACTACTGGACCAAATTGCCATTTTAGAAATAGATGTTTTACTAAAATAGACAATACCCACAAACAGAACATACTTGAGCAGTTTTATGGTGAGGTAAAACTAAACAAGACATTTATCCAGGAGGATTAATCAGTAGAGGGTAGAAAAAAACTGCACTTATAAGTACAAGGTAATATTTTTGTTACAAAATCTAATAGTTGGTTCTAAAATGTCTTTTTGTTAGTTACGTGTAGGAAGCCAGGAAACCATGATATGCATTCTGTTCTATGCATAGAGCATCAATAAATAGAGTGTCTAAGATTGATAAAAATCTGACGCTGAGTATTATTATGTCACCTCCGATAAGCGTGGGAAGCATTCCAATAGACCGAATAAAATCAGTGAAGCAATAATAGCGCAAATAGAATAACATATTCGGAGTTTTCGCAGAAGAAAATCTAATTATAGTAGGGAAGATAATCAGAAAAAGTATTTTTGTCTCCTGAGTTGAATATTGCAAAAATGCATCGTCCGTACCTTGAAATATATAAGCCAGAAAAGTATGTTCTCCTAGACGACGGTAAGATTTAAAGCACATTAAGCCACTAGTAACATATGATTTTTATCACAATTTAATCTCAATCATAATCTTAGTTTTGGACATCCCAGGTCAGATACTTGCCAGAAATCTGACCGCCTAATTATTTGTTATTTTTCCTGTGGTTTCTATTATTTTTCTTGTTTTTTTAGAATTGCTTTACGTTCAAAAATATAGTTATGATTTTTATTTTATGATAAATAAAATGCTGACCGCAATAGTGTTGCTTTATTTGTGTACTTTTTTTAGCTTCGGTGCAAAAAAGTCAATTCCAAGACTTTATTATTTTTTGTCTAAGTCTCAAAACAATATTTGGGTTACAGTTTGGTATTAAATTATTTTCCAATAGCAATACTTAATTGATATTTTTGTTCATCACAAAATTCCTAAAAATAACAATATCAGAGATTTTTTATTGATTTTCCACAAATTATAAAAAAATGGAGTTGACTAGTTGTTGCACCGAACCCCTCTTCATATGCAAATTAGTTGATCCAAAATACTTACACTATTCTGTCGAGGCCATCTGTGTGGATCAGTAATTGTATCACTGTCGGACACTTGACTGTCCTGGGAATCAACCCTAACGGGGGTCTTGTCTGAATCCGTACTCGCACTTTCTGACGTCTGGGATGCCGTTCTATCGGTATCCGTCGATTGCTGTGAACTTACTATGTCTCGATGAAACATCGGCATCGGTGGTAGAGGATAAGTCTCTAATTTCACCTCGTTCGTTGTCTCCCCTAGAGTGACATCTAAAAATAAAAAAATCACAACATTTGTTAACAAACTAATGATGGTAACACACTATTATCATTGTATAAAAAAGAAATAGTATGGACACTCGACAGGCAGGAAAAAGTAGTCATCTGTCGTGATTTGTTTGTTTATATCTTTATCGTCGAATTTTATTTTTCGTTTAATTAAGTCTAAAAAAAACTTGGGGATATTAATTTCATTTTAAAATTATTTTTATAAAAATTTAATTTATGTAATTTAATAATTGTTTAACAATATTTAATAATTATTTAATATTTAGTTTTAGTATTTATGTTATGGTTAGGATATTTTATGTTGTTAATTGTTTTGTAAAAAATGGAAACATCCCGTTAATAAATAAATAAATACTAATTCTGGTTTTATTCGCAAAAAAATAAAGGAATTGATATTTCCAGTTAGGAAAATGGTAACCTTTACAACTGAACATAAAATTCAAATTATTAAATGATATTATTCTGGAAGTAGGGCCAACGATGTAATCGCTACGTTTTCGTTTTCATTCGAAAGCCCTGTACCATCAAAATCTGTAATTCACAACATTATTTTTAAATTTGAAAATTAACCAGCTCGTTCAATAAATGAAGAACAGGAATAGCCTAAAACTGCCGTAAGTAGTCTAACTGAAATCAATTTTCCTTGTAACAGCACGTTCTAATTTCAAAAGAAACTGGTATTACTGCTAGAACTGTATGAAATACTTTAAAAAGAAACAAGTACCATTGCTACTAAAAAAAATCCATTCTACTAGAAACTGTAGTAAATGCAATTTAAAGAGGCAGGTAAAAAACTTATAATAAAAAAGATGGCCCCTGGCTGTCTTTTATGTAATTTAACATATAACAAGAAAAAATGCATATGTTCTTTATAAAAGCGCAAATAGTCAATGTTCTTTGTCTCAAAAACATTTTACGATATTACTAGGTTAAAGTCTTTTCAGTGAACATCTGAAAAGAAGAAAAGATATGAAACAGCTCTCTAATAATGATTTAAAAACCACAATCATAAAAATTCTTGGAACAGATCAAGACAAGAGTTCAAGAAACCCAACTGGGGAAATTTCAAATCGACAACCTGCTAAGCAAACAAGAAGTCATTTTTGTCCGAAACATAAAGACATGAAATCATGTGATGACTGTAAGAGAGCAAGTTGTAAGGAACGTTGTCAAGATTGTTTTAGAAATTAAGATATATATATATATATATATATATATATATATATATATATATATATATATATATATATATATATATATATACGTATTCACTCCCTCTTATTTTTTCCGATATCATTTTTACTTGTTAAAGTTTTTTGTAAGTTTACTTTTGTTAAATTATTGTTGTAGAAGTTAACAGTAAGTCTATTTAAATTAGTTTACACACAAAATTGCCTCCCGAAATAATTTGTTGTTTTGGAATATAAGTTTTTCAGTTTCTTATTTGGCTATGGTAGAAAAGTTTTATTTTTATATTAAATAAATAAAACATTTTGATAATAATAATTAAATTAAATTAATATATTGTCGATTGTAATTAATTCAACTTAACTTGTTTACTAACTTTGAAATAATATAAACACGTCTCTGTTCTAACCACTTGTGCCAGTCCGTAACTGATCTAGTCTGTTTTCAATATGGCGTCTGGATACTTTTATACTTCAAAGGCGCCGACTAAGAGTGTCCTAACTATTTGTGGTTAAACTGTGCTATTATCGAGTATTTTGATTTATATGTATTGATTTAAAACTATTTATTTAAAACTTTTATTTAGTTGTACATATTTATTTTACATATTTTCCTGTTAAATAACAAAAGCCGGTTTACATACTAATACAAAATATTCTACAAAATAATCTAAGTTTCTCAGGTATGCCATTTCGGTCTGATATGTTAAGACTCATGTATAAGTTTCGTGATCTTTACGTCATTTTGTCTACAGCGTTAGAGATGCCGTATTTGGCAACTGCAGGCTGAATATGAGTGTAAATCTGACATCGAGGCTCTGAATCTCAATTATTATTTTATTAACTCAATTTCCAAATTTCTTAGCCTTTTATTTTGGCTATATTCTGTATCAAACGTGACTTTAATCCACAGCTGATATATGAAAGTACATATTTTAAAAGTTACATGACCACACGACGGTGGTCTATTAGGACAAAATGATCTATATTTCAAAAGTAAAAGCATATACTTTTGTAAAATATTTAGATAAATTAATTTTTTTAGGTGCCTGAAAGGTACTGAAAAAACTGGATATGTCCGTTATTTATTTATGTAAGAAATAGCCTTTTGAGTATAAATCAGAGTGTTAATCCTAAACAACTCAACGAATGTGCCTCAGGTAACCGAAGATCGATTTTTATAAGTTGTTAATTTGTTTTTTTAATGCCGTTATGGAATGGAAATTTTCTTCCATAAAGTAATTTTTATTTTCTAAAAAGAATGTTGAATAAAATGACAGCACAAGCGTTTTAAAAGAAAAACGAAGACGAGGACTCTTTTTATAAACTGTGGCTTTTCATTGGTTTATTCTTTTGCTTTGCTAGATTGTGATAAATTAGGTACCTAATTTTATACAGAAAGTTAGAATTCTTCGGACATATTATGCGAAATGAATCCAGATATGCTCTCCTTCAAGCCATCCTACAAGGAAAAATATTTGGAAAACGAGGTCCAGGAAGAAGAACATCTTGGTTAAAGAACCTCACAAACTGGTTCAATACAACATCTGTGCAGCTTTTCCGCGCTGCTGCAGATAAGATAAACATTGGCATGATGATCGCCAACATTCGTAACGGATAGACACATTAAGATAAAGAAGACCGTACATTTATTACTATAACTCAAACAGTTGCGATAGTTAAACATATTCAATATCAGCAATATGTTTTTATAGTACTACCTAATACAAGTCATCGCTATAGTGTTGTTTAGTTTACGATTACTGTGACTACCTGTTACTGCATACAAAATCATCGTTATTCAAAAAGCACGGTCACTGATCACGGCGTGATTTATGAAAATACCACTACTATAACTACGCTATATAACATATTGAAATTTGTTCTTGGCTATGGGATTCAATAACTTCGTATGCAAATTTGTTCGATCATTGTAGATCCCATAACTCTGCAAAATTAACTAGTTATTTTCGCCCTATAAAGCCTCCATATTATTACAGAACTTTTTTCAGTATTTCGGAACATTTTGGTTTCAACTCTCCATACTTTTATCCACATAATGAAATTCACGAAATTCACGAAAAAAGAAAAGTAGGATTAAAAATTAACCTAGAAATAAATATCAATGAGATTAGAAGAATTGAATACCTTAAAATTAGTCAAACAAGATATTAAGGTAAGTAATAAATTAAGGAAAGAAAAGCAATGTATCCACAGCGAAACTAGGCTAGATATAAGAGATGTAAAGCAATTAACAAATATAGCAAAATTTATTGCAGAAGAAAAGTTTTACAAAATAACTAATGAAAAAAAAACAGAAAAATCTAAAAAAATTTTCATGTTGATAATGAAGAACCATGGAAACTAGAAACATGGAATATAAGAAGTCTAAATGGAAATGTAAACGAACTGGAAGAAGTTCTAGTGAAGAATTGTTAATTTTTATTTGAACTTTAACACATTATTTAATTCTAGTTGGTACGAAATTCGCCAGGTTAGCTGGTTACAAATAAATAAAAACAAAGTCCAAAATGAAGAGCAAACAAAACCCGTTTAACGGTATTATAAAGTTTTATTGATACGTTAATTTTTACTAATCTAATACGTATAATAGATTATTACCTGGAAAATGAAACGTCGATTTCTGACTAGAGTGAGGAGTCGTTAGTGTTTGAACAGCAGGACTAGATGGTGTGGAACTATTACAACTTGATGTATTTGAACTCGAATCGTGAGGCTGAAAAATTAAATAGTGTGTTTTATTTATGTCACTTTTTTCCATAAATTAATTGTTTTAAAAAATTTATAAATAAATTTATTTAAACAGTTTTTAGTTGAAGATTTTCGAGGAAGAGTCGAATGTTTTCATATTTATAAAATGTAGAAAAGGAGACTTTACACTTGTAAAGTTCGAGCAGATTGCCATGAAATAATCAAGGGAAATTGAAATCTCTCTCTTCAATCATGACACCCCGGAGGGAGTTTAGTGGTCATCGTGTGTCCGTCTCCAAAGATATTTGTCTCTGATCATTTCTTTTAACTCTCATGCATAGGTCTTTTGCATATTTCTGTAATTTGATCTGCCCATCTCGTTGGAGATATTCCTCGTGATCTTCGGCCTTCTACCTTTGCTTGGATAATACGTCTTCCCTGATTTCTGTCTGCTGTCATAACATGTCCAAAGTGTTTTAATTTTTGGAGATGGACTTTGTTGTATGAGATGAGATTGAGATCAATTAGTCCTATCAACGAGCGTTATCGAAATTCTGTAAAAGTATTGTTCTGAAGCTATTTTCTTGTGGCATTTTAAATTAATTACTATTTAACTGGGAATAAGCCAAAATTAAAGATAAAAATACGTTTATGTTAAAAATATGTTAAAACCCACAGTATGGTGGAGGTATGTAGATGATGTATTCTCAATATGGCCTCATGGATCAGAGTTGTTGGACACATTCCTAAATGATATAAACGATAAAAAAGAGACAATAAAATTTACCATGGAAAAAGAATATAATAACACGCTACCTTTCCTGGATGTTTTAATCTCTAAGAACGATACTGGATATGAGACTCAGGTGTATAGAAAACCAACACACACCAATAGATATTTAAATTTCAAATCAAATCACAATATTAAGTAATGTAAAAAAGGGAATAATTAAATCCTTATACGATAGAGCTAAAATTACTTGTTCTAACGAAAATTCGTTCTTGGAGGAGAAACATTTGTTAACATCTGATTTATTAAAAAATGATTATCCTTTATCGTTTATAAATAAGGAATTTTCAACAATCGATCGAATAGAACAGAACAACATAGAACGAGATCCTACAGCATACACAAGGAATAATACGAGGAAAATAACAATACCGTACATAAAAGGATTATCAGAAAAACTTAAAAGGATAGGAAATAAATTCAACATTTCAACAACATTCAAAACAACAAACACGTTGAGATCGATTTTGTCCAAAACCAAACCTAACAATGAACAAGAAAGGACAAAGAATTGCATTTATAAAATACCTTGTGAATGCGATCAATTTTATTTAGGTGAAACATCAAGGTCATTAAATGTTAAAATAAGTGAACATCAATCTTATATTAAAAATAGAGAATTTGATAGATCTCAAATATGTAAACACGCATGGGATAATGAACATAGGGTTCAATGGAATAATTCAAATGTAGTCCTAAAAGAAACGGATGGTAAAAAAAGAAAAATCAAAGAAGCGGCTCTAATTGTGCTAAATGAGGCCAATTGTGTCGCAAATTCCTCGGCAGAATGTAGTAGGATCTAGTTACCAATATTGAAAGAGGAAGTTATTAATAAGAAAATACCAGTATTAGTAAGTCAGTAACATATAGAGGATACATCATTTATGTTTTTTAAATAACGAAACATATAAAATCAGAATTTTGGTGTTTATGAAGGTAAACTAAATGCACGAACAAATACTGACCATGTCGGGATAGTATTATGAGGTTTTTTTCCTGGTTTTTCCCTCATAATTTACTATGGAATCACTAACAGGAGAATTTTACTGTCATCATGTCATGTGTTTGTCTTTTTAAAGACGAATTACATGCTATGATTTTTTTCTGACGGATATTCTCAAGTTAAAGTTGATTTCATGTAATCGAATGAACTATCTTATAAGTAAAGTCGTCCCAGGAGCGCCACTCAACAATATTGACAATATCGTTTTAAAGTCGTCTACTTTAAAATGCATAATGTATGTCTGAATTGTCAATATAAATGAGTCAGATAAAATTAAATTATTATTAGAAGAATTTTTCACTATGTAACAAAAAACAAAATTTGTTTAATTTACTGTTTGTATTTTGAGAACGATTTCCGAAGTGGAAATTGAAACTTCAATAAACGTATTTTTATCTTTAATTGTGGCTTATTCCCAGTTGAATAGTAATTAATATGTAAAAGTAGTTAAAACATATCTTCTATATAGTAGGTGATTTGAAACTAAGACTTGAGAAACTTAACTTAATACACACAACTTAATACTTCGACATTTGTTGTGTGATCTGTCCAGGGAATTTTAAGTAGTCTTCTAACTACCCACATTTCAAAGGCCTCCAATCGGTTCATCACATTGGCCTTTATGGTCCAGGTTTCTATACCATACAGCAGTATATATTTAATTACTTACCGGGAAGGCTGGAGTATTGGTTGTAGGTTGAGGATGTGAATTTTTCCTCGGCCTAGTTTTTGTTAAGACTCTCCCAGCACTCTTTGTACTAGCTCTCCCTGTAGTGGGAGACACAAATGGATTACCTGTAATAATTTCATGGTTTAAAAAAAGTAATATAGTAATATAAGTAATAAAAAAAGATCCTATCTCTGAGACCACTGTAAGAGTAGTTATCTACCAGACAATATTAAAAATTATAGTTTATTCGTCTTCCGGGTTTGGACCGTGTCATTTGTGAGTGACCCAAAAGTGGGTTCATCTCGACGTTTCGCTACAATTATATGTAGCTTCTTCAGGAGAACAAAGAAAAGGAAAAAAAGAAAACAAAAGAACAGGAAGATGGGTAGTTAGCAACGGTAACTCAGTTACTCAACGCAACCAGAGGCGAATACTAACTACCAAGATGGGCATTTGGTCACAGTAACTCAACTACTCAACGCAGCCAGAGGTGAAAACCAAATGCCAGGACAGGGATTCACGTCCAACAGCTCAGAACACTAACGCGTCGAGAGGCGGGGAGTGAATCCGACGATTACTCCGCTACCGCTCTATTTATAGTCGCGGTGCCTGTCGTGTCGGGACGTATCGGCACACTTCGTGGCGCGAACGTCAAGAAGCGCGCGCTGGACAAACATGTGGCTGCATAGTGGTGGCGGGACCGGACGGTGACTCTAGACTGAGATTCCAGATGGGAGACAAGTAGTAACCTTCCTCTCGATTGATATTATGGGGATTTTTTCGGATCTCTAGAGATTCGCGGATTTTCCTGGAATAAAAGAAGGGGCTCTTAGAAATAATATGGGTTTTTTCGAATGGTTTTATTATGGTTTTTACTATGGAATCACTAACGGTTTTGTTGTAATCTGATAAAGTGTTAAACAAAGTTGATATGGCAACCCTGTTGTATGATGTTTCGTTTCAAGAGTCAGTTGAAGTTTTGGTATCATCTATCGATGAACCTCTTAAACAAATATATCTGAACTGCGCATCAATTGTTGTAGAGGCTCCATCTGAAATATCGATATATATATATATATATATATATATATATATATATATATATATATATCGATATCGATATTTCAGATGGAGCCACCTCTCTACAACACAATTTGATGGCGGCAGTTCAAGATATAATTCTTGTTTAACGAGATTTTTCATATGTTTAGGAAAACATATTCATTGTTATTAAAATGTCCAGTTTCTTACCGGTAGCTTCATTATAAGCCGGAACATATTATTTTTTCTTATTGTTGCAAAAACTGTACAGTCAACAATTTTCAAAAAATTCATAAGTATTTCTTAGAATTGTATCTTTATGATGTAAGAAAATTAACAAAATTGTATGATTGGTTTTCACGTTTTTTCAAACACGAAGTTTGCTCAAAATTTGTCAAAATACTTCTAGTGGTCACATATACCTTTTCAAAATTTTTCAAATTTTTTGATAGTGTACAGATTTGTCTTTTGGGGGTGCAGATCAACCTGAAGATATTGAATTTGTCGGAAATTGTTCGAAATACCATTTTGTTGGAAACACCACTTAGAATTACTATGTTACTGTGACATCTTACAGCAGTAAGTGTGGCCTCCAAATAAAAGGTATTCACAAAATTAAAACAGTAACACCTTATTGTAAAATTAACTGTGTCCTTCGGCTACGACAGGATGATGGAAAAAAGACAGCAATCAAAAAGAATTTGTCAATAGAGGATTAACCCTAAGTAATAATGTTTATAATACACTAAATAAAACGTATGTTTATACAATACTTTCTTGTTAAATAATTCCATTTATTTACCTGCTTCTATTGGAAAAGTCTTCTTAAATTCGTTAAGTAATTCAGGAGGTAGTCCGCACGACGGAGTTACTTTATCTTCACAGTCTCTGTGACAAGTATATTTACATTCTTTACATTTCAGCCCACTACCGAAATATATCGGTTTTTGACAATAGCCACACGAAGACATCATCTTGAATGTTTTCGTGAACCTATGCTTGATCTGATGGGTCATCACTTTGCCCATTACCGTCGGCGTTCTCGGTGATTTGGGAACCTGGAGACTTATAGCTGAAATATAAATAAAAGAATATATAATGAAAATGATACTTTCATTTGACCTAAAGCAATTAATAAAAACAAAAAGTTTATGAGAAATTAAACCTGGTACAGCTTATTTCAAATCGAGTGGCGAGCCCTTTCAACGAAATAGTTAATCGCACAGACAATAGAATATCTATGATCAGACTCATGCAGTGGCATTGCAATATTAAACAAATTAAATTATTTAAAATCGCACTAATTACAAAATTATTACTCACTTACTCTATATATGACAAAGAAATAATAAGAAGTACTGTCATTTGCCATGTCCAGGAATGACAGTTACTCTTAACCTAACATTCTACAGTTGTTCGGCACACGTGGCCATTTTTAACTTTGTAATTGTCTTTTTCTTATGTGTTAAAGTAGAATAATTTGTCAAGTTTGGTCTTTTACACCATGCAATTTTTACATATTTTAATTATTGACTCAATCAATGAGTGGTGCGTGAAATTGTCACCTGTAAGTAGAGCATCCACGAAAGACAAACCTCAATAACGTAAGTGTTTTTTTTTTTCGTTTTTTCTCTTTTACAACCTTTTCACTCAATAGATTTCGAGGATGCTTTACTAACAGCAGCACTTTATTTTCAGTTTTTCCTGATGATGAAAATAAACATTTTCGAAAGCTTGAAACTTAGTTAAAAGAGTACACTTATTTCACCGCTGGAAATCCCAATAAACCTGAAAGCTCCGTTATATATATAATATATATATATATATATATATATATATATATATATATATATATATATATATATATATATACACTATTGTATATATAGTAATTTTTATACTATTTGAAAAAAACTTACATTTATAACTATTATCGTCACTATCGCATGACGTAACGGTATGATTATAAGGTGGTGATTTAATAGGACTCGTAGTTAACGGACTAGAATAACCCATTGTGTTCGGACCTGGTTCTGTAGGTAATCTTCCTCTTCTTCCAACAGAGCCCGTACCACTAAAAAAGACCCAAGTGATACTAATGATTATGCACATCCATATGTAGATGTCAAAATTACATCCATCATAATTAAATAAAAATTAATAATGCAAAAGATAATGAAAATACTTATTAATGTTACATAAACGTAGAAATTGCAAAGGGAACAAAAATGAAAATTTGTAAATCAAAACATTAAGTTGTGTAATATTAATAATGTAATTTATTTATAACTTCTTATAAATAGAGGATTCCGTAAATGTAGGTTCTGCTATTTGTTATGATACTTATATACACTCCGATTAGGTTCATTTTCTAAAGGTTGCTCACATTTCTATTCTCATTTTTCTATATCAGTTACATTGAAATCTAATACTTTTTTCGTCTTTTCTCTTGTCCATAAGCGATGAATGATCATTTATTAATATTGTTTTCTGTCCTTTGAACTACACGAAATGTGTATTACATCTTCTAGCAAAAGCTTGTTATCACTATGATGCATTTAAGACAGCATATATCGTAGTAGCACATACATATCGAGTCTGTTTGAATTGGTAAACAAACCATGTGCAGTTACCACTTAAGATTTTATGATCTTTCTGTTTGATTTTATATTTGACCCCGCGTCTGATAAGGCCATGGGAGACCAAAATGACGTCAAAACGCGGTTTTGCTGGAATTATGTGTACTTCTTGATTTTTTGCTGTTTTCTTTTGTATGGTTTGCTTTAAGCAAAACACACTATCAGTACAAGAACAGTCAGCCCTGAATTCACTTTGTTTTTCCTTCTGGTAACTACATTATTGAGTCATCCTTAGAAGTTTTTTTTGTGTATCGAAGAGATGTATGCCATTTTACATTGGTTGGCAACATAATATCCATTTATACACATATTAACAATATTTGTGATCAAACAAAATAGTTTTTCGGTGTCACATTTGAGAGTTCGACATCTATAGCTTCAGGACCATTTGCTTTTATTATTTTTTAATGACATTACGGTTAATTATGACATTAGGATGTTTTCGGTCAGGTCTGGTTCTTCTTGTATGTAGATGTGTTCTTCGGGTACCATCTTATATCCTTCTCTTTCATCTGATATTAAGTAATTATAGTGTTGCATCCACTGTTTTCCTACTACTACCTGTTGACTTTATAATTAATTACTAACTTACAAATGGTTATTTTGTTCCTTTTCGCTACTACAATAAAAAAAATCCTTTTTATATCTGATCGACACAAATCTTTCAGAAAACAACATTCACAGAATGACATCCTGAACCTTCAACAAAACCTGGTAGAAATAAAATTAAGTTATTAATGATAAACAGCATGCTGCAGCTCATGGAAGAAGAAAAGACATGAAAAAAATGAAAACACAAATTTAGTACGATATTCGCCAAAATTAACAATACCGAACGTTAGGATGTCGCGGACTTGGTCGCACAACATGTAATGGACTCGTAGATACGGGACTAGAATATCCCCTAGTGTTCGGTCCTGGTTCTGTAGGTAATCTTCTCCTTCGCCCAACAGAACCGGTGTCACTAAAAACAGACGCAAGTTACTACAGAATATAAAAAATATAACTCCACATAAAAAATAAGATACACATATTTAATCATAAGTACAAATAGAAATTTTCAACAAAACCGATGAAAATATAAAAAAGATGAACACATTAATGAATGATAGCAATCTATATTTAATAGAGAGAAAGATAAATAAAAATGATATCTCAAAACTATAAAATTAGGCATGTATTGTGTTACTTGAGTGCATCTTTATATATTTAAATGGAAAATAAAACAAAAACATTCGCTGAAAAGATAAATATTTTCAACGTATGAATGACCAACACGTCTCTCCTAAAGTCTACTCTTCGTTTACACTATGACATGTTTGGGCATCATCAGACAGAACAGAAGGAAGACTCAAGAATCCCACCTTGAGAGAAAGGTGGGATTCTTAGCATGTTCTTAGCCTACGAAGACACTGAGTTGTTAAACATCCTATTACCTATGTGTTTGTAACTGTGGCGCCATCTACTCTTCGCTTTTAGATGACATTACTGGACGTCTTTTACTATATAAAATCCACAAGGAAAATAAAATTCCTGTAGTTGACAGTATACCATATAACACCAAAGTTTTATTTAAAAATTCTTTATAAAAGGTATATAATCAAAAGACATGTTTTCGGACTAAATAGTCCATCATCAGTGCATTGACCAGGTGTACTCATGGTCAAGCCACTAAATATGTGGGTAAAAACCCTTACAACGGTACAAAATTTGTTGTTTATTACATCTTTGTTAATAAGTTATTTTGTTATTTAAAGTTTTTTACAGATACCCTGCATGGCAACGTAAGACTCCGAATTTGGGGGTTGCTGACCCTGAGACGATGTCTCTGTATGAGCTCTTTGAGTTGCCATCCAGAGCCCTTACAGACATACGCTTCCAGCGTGTACAAATGTATCTATTTATTCGCAGTTCTTCCTCTCCATCAAGTGCATCTTGAAAAAATTCATCTGCATTTCGATTTCCACACCAAATTCTTATATCTGCCACGAATGTTGGCCTTTCTTTCTGAACCACTTCTTCCTTCCTGTAAAATTAATCTTAACATATGTCTCAAACATATCAATATGTCTCAAACAGATAACTTTTCCTTATTTTATAGTTTGTTACAGTTTATGTTCGGTTCTAGCTCTTCACATGAACACTTCCTCGTTCGTCACATGATCAACCCATGAGGTAGTTAATGCAATCTCCACATTTGGAATTCTTGTAGACGATTCATTGTATCATTGTACTGTATGTATATACCTGCATACACTACTGATTTGGCATCGTGTGATTTCTTTGCGTTTCCTAAAGTCAAAAACAAACTACGCGGTAAACTTTTAAGACGCCAGATGAAGCGTTTATTTCCCAAAAATATGTTCTTTCTCCATTTGTACAAAACTTGTAATGTATCTATAGCGATAAATGAGAAAGTATTAGAGCAGGTAAATCATTAAAAATAGCTTGGTTAAATAATGTGGATTACAATCCTGAATATGTTAGAGGCAACCGAAATACTGGAGTAGAAACCAATTTTGATAATTTCCTGGACGGTACGAAAAACTAATAAATGAGTGCCAAACAGATTAAATATAGAAAATACCAGCTATTTGCGTCATTTTTTACATTACACTTCTACATTTTCGGGCGTGTGGAAGGGCGGCGGTGGACCTAAAAAATACAGGAGACCACGAGCTGACAGAAGAAGTACAGGAGACCACTTACACGATGAAAAGAATCGCTGGGAATTGGCTGCAGGAAGTTCAAGACCGACAGAACAAGAAGAAATTAGGGGAGGTAGTATATGTTCCACTTTGGATGATGATGATTCCTAAATTAATATGAAAGCTAACATGGAGGAAAATGTGCTATTGTATTGTCCTGGACTATGCAGCGGAAAACAGAGTAAGGTTTGCCACCATAACCGCAATGATAGAAACGACACATGAAGAAGAAACATACTTGTATCAAGCGTTTACCACTCCCTTTTCAAATCTCTTCTCAGTGTTTTTTTTTCACTTCGTCACTTTCTTCTTGACTTACTATGCAGTTCAGATGACCACCACTTGATGGATTTTGTTTAACTTCTCTAATAATTGTCAAAAATTACTGTCTGTTACTGGTACTCTTTCATCTTCCTTACACCCATACAGAGCAAATATTGCAGTTTCCATATAATTCTTTTATTTATTTCTTACCGTGTTTGAATCTTCTTACATAATTTCATCATTTTTCTCCATTTATTTTTAATTAATGCTGGGACTCCTGCTTTAACCTTTTCCACGTTTCCTTACTTCATTCAATATGAGCTGGAAGATCTCCAGTCTCTTAAAACCTCATTGTAAATAAAGAAAAAATAAAAACAAATTGGGAAACGTTTAATTGATTTTAACCAGATGTGATTAATGATTTAAGGTTACCATGCAATAAAAAAAAATCTAATATCTAGAATGATTTCATAAATAATGACAATCGCATGCAGTCTCGACACATCACTTACTTTGGGGCTTTCACTTCAGTTTCTGCTTTGGGGCTTGCTAACTGTGATTCGTGTGACTTACTCTTAGTTAAAGGATACTCAGGTAATAAAGATGGCGGAATGCCCGTTTGGTGTCTTCTCCTGGCAGGGGGCGTCGTAGGAAATTTTGAACCTAAGATAAAAGATTTATGTATTAGTAACATATTATTGAAAACGAATAAATAATAACGAATATAATTTATTCATAAACCTAAAAGAACTCAAAATTGATCATTCCTATTGTAATATATTGATCAGGATATTATCTATATCAATTGAAGTTCACAAACTTGATGAACTTGACATAAATGTGTGACAAAAAGAAATAGAAGAGTAGATAAATACGATTTTGAATTATATGATGTTTGTAAGGTTCAGAACTGGATAGAACAGATTAAAATGTTAATACTCTACGATAACTCACACTAGATTTTAAAATTACAATCAAGATAACAGAAAATAATAATAGATATTAATGTAGCAAACAATACTCATAAAATTATGAATGAAACAACATTCCTTCAATCGATCCCAGATCAACCACTGTAATTGATTGTAGCAACAGCAGAGTATATATAATAACTCAATAAAAATCAATTCCACACCACGGCCTATAAATCCTCACCATAATGTATCCTTACAAAACACCGACTGCGAAAGTCTATGCTTATTGATAATGTTTACACTGTTGGATGGCTATCAATTAAAAACATAAGAACTATTTAGAAAAGGTTTTGGCATCTATGATCACCTATTGACAATGAAGATCATAATTAGAAAACTAACGGATATTATGTACAGATCGGTCAAAGGGTTTATATCGATAACGAACAATTGCACTATTGAAATTAAACGCTATGCTCTGCAATATAAAGATCATGCGCACACGCACTGACATCTGATAGCACAGTGGAAGAAATAGACAGCATTTACAAAGAATTAGACAAAACACTTGAAGAAACCAAAAAAGAAGAAGTTAATATTATTTTAGACGACTTCTATGTGAAGATAGGGAAAGGAAGATACGGAGAAGTAGTAGGCGAATATGGACTGGGAACCCGTAATGAGATAGGAGAGAAGCTAGTCCAGTTTTGCAAGAACAATGAACTCATTATCAAGAACACATGATATAAACTACCAGTCCCAAGAATATACACCTAGAAAGCACCTAGAGATGAAGGTGAGAACATAGTAAGGAAGCAGATTGATAACAATATTATAAATCAAAGATTCTATAACGCCATAGTATCGACTAAAGCTTTCCCAGGGAGAGATATAGCAAATGACCACAATCTTATTTTAGCAGACATGAAATTCAAACTAAAACACCTAGAATTAATCTGAGAAGACTGAAAGAAGCTGATCTCTGCCAACATATCCAAAAATAAATACACAAGGAAGTTCAGAAAGTAGAAAAACACGGACAACGCAACATAAAAATGCAGAGAGTTAAAGAACATCATACAACAATTGGAGAGCGATACATTCCTTGAAAGCAAACAATGGATAATACAAGAAATAAACGGATTGATATTGGAAAGGAGAAAATATAATAAAAAAACGTATAATACAGAAACGTAAACAAAACAATAAAAAAAATCAAAGAAGCGAAGGAATTGTGGCTATCAGAAAAATGTGCAGTAATAGAAAGATTAGACAAAAACATGACAGCATTAATATATATATATATATATATATATATATATATATATATATATATATATGTATATATATATATATATATATTATATATATATGTATATATATATATATATATATATATATATATATATATACGAAAATTTAAAAAAGCTGCTGCCATATACAAGAAAAAACGTATTGGAAATATAATGGACAAAACAACAAAATAATAATTGAAAGTGCAGAGGAAATAAATAGATGGGAAAATATATAGAAGAGCTAGTTGAAGACGACGAAAAAATGGAGACAATAGAACCAAGAGGAAGAAATGGAGCTGCAATTACCAAAAGGGAAATTGAAAAAGTACTAAAACGTATAAAAAATGATAAAGCCATGGAACAAAATGAAATACCTACAAAAATCTTAGTCCACTAATAGAGAACCACATTGTTACTAGTAGAATGATTAAATGGAATCTACGATACTGAGGAAATCCTGAAAGAATGGCTAATATCTGTGTTCATTCCGATACCCAAAATCCCAACGGCTTTGGCACTAGGGAGGGATTATTTACTGTACCAACAGTCATAGAACAGTGTCGAGTTGATTTTGAGACAGCCATTTAATAAAATACAAGACAGAAGGTTTGCAAACATATTACGGAACATAGAAATATATGATGATGATGTGAGAATCATTACCAATTTGTACCGGTATCAGAATGTAAATCGATAAACAACTTAAGATATGCCGATGATACAGTATAATTTTAGAGACACCTGGAGCCTACAGCACCTACTTCACAAGATATCAGTTGAAAGGCCTAAAAGTCAACAGCACAAAAACGAAGTTGTTAGTGGTAAACCGGAATCCGAACCAACCAGTGTACATAAATGTATAAAGAAATAACCAAAGTATCGAGGTTTAAATACCAGGCCAGCTGGATCACTGAAGATATCAATTCTGACTTAGCAATCCGAGTTCCAATTAAAATAGACTCTTTGAAAATGCGAAGATTCTTATGTGATAGGTCACTCGATCTGCAAATAAGATACAATTTTGTGAAGTGATTACATAAATTCCACATTGTTACATGGAGTTAAAGCATAGACGCTAAAAGTTGCCAGTTTTTTAGACTTGGGTATATAGACGAAGATTACGAATAACTTATTACTTCTCATACCACTAAGTTGGAAGTTCTCCACCAAATGAGCAGAGGACTAGAGCTCATTGAGATTATAAAAAGCGAAAACTGCATATCTCGGACATGTAATAAAAAACAACAGATATAATTATCTACAGCTAGTAATCGAGGGTAAGATTGGGCAAACGTGGACCAGGACAAAGATAGTGCTCCTGGCTTAAAAACATATGAGATTGGACTTTGGTAGAAGGCACTCGAAGAAGAAGAATGTGGAAAGAAACATCCTGGTGTAAATTATATATTTAAAAAACAATGTTATTTCCAAAAAAATAACTAAACAAACATTTTTTTGGTCAAATTAAGTTCAGTCTAAAAAATTAACAAATACGAGCATCAATCAACACTTAAAAACATTGTGACAGCACGTTTTTCACATATTTTATTTCATTGCATAAATGACACAACATGAAGTGTAAGCCTCAGATTCATATATTCTGCTGTCTGTTCTATTTAAAAACGAACTACAACTTTGTCCTTATATGATTCTCTGAAGCTTACTGCAAAAACATACATCAAATGTGCATAACACTTAGACATACTCTAAACATTAAAAATTATTTAGTAAAATGGTTTTACAGGTTTGCATTGTTTCATTTTTGCTTCATACCATTATAAGTTCTGCCCAACGTTTAGATGGAAGATAATGTGGACAAGACAGAACAATGTTGGTTTTAAAAGAATAACTATATTTAATTTTTATTTTTATTTTATTTTTCTTTATTATAAAAGAATAACTACATTAAAAACAACTTGATTGGTTTGGACATATCGTAAGGATATATCAAAATAAATTAGTCAGAAAAGTGATACAGCTTAAATGATGAGCAATAGAAGAAGAGGCAAAGCTTGGAAAATGGAATAGAACTAGGAGTAAAACGAAGTAAATATTTAGAAGAAATGAAACAATTCGCGAAGGAAGAAGCAGTCGCAAAACCTCTCTCCTTCTCCACTTCGTTGTCTCTCTTGTCTTCCGCATAAGTCTTTACATTTTTCTATAAAATCTGGAGGCGTTGATACGGCTGATGCCGAACATTGGAGGCCTAGGTAGCATCAAAAGAAAGGCTAAATGAAGTTTTTCAGTCGGTGATAACCTAAGCTGCCCCCGTGTGGTGTAGCCTACTAAACACTACGAAATACGCTAAGCTGGCGACTTCGCAAAGGCGAATACTCCTCAGAGTATCTAGCGCATATAGGGCACAGTTTCAAATGAGCGGTGATACCGATCGTTTTGTTGTGCAAAGAGCGAGCGAGTGTGTGTGCGAGGAGGATGGATATAAATATAGATGAGAATGAGAGAGAAAGAACGATAGTAGAGTGGCAGAGAGAATAGGCGAATAATAGCGGAAAGGCAAGGTGGACGAACAAGTTTATTCCCGATCTGAGAGCGTGGTGGGAATGTAAGTTCAGGAAACTAGACTACTTCCTGACGCAGTTTCTGACCGGATATGGTAGTTTTTTACACCATCACAAATAGGCAAATCTGCCTCGACAAACTGTACTGTTTGTGGGGTACCGGACGCTTCCATCATCATCATATTTGGCTCGACAATCCTCTGTGGATCTTGGCCTGCTCTAAGATTCGTCGCCATTCTGTTCGGTTTTTGGCAACATGTTGCCATCTTCTGATTTTTAATATTCGTAAGTCGGTTTCTACTCCATCTAACCACCTAATTCGCGGTCGGTCTTTGCTTCTTTTTCCTACAGGTGTTCCTGTGGTTAGCTTTTTAGCAATGGTATTTTCTGGCATTCGTATTATGTGTCCAGCCCATCTAAGTCGCTGTGTTTTAATGAACGTTATGACATCTGGCTCATCAAAGAGCTGATACAATTCAAAATTATATCTTCTGCGCCACTGCCCTTGGTCGTTTACAGCTCCAAATATTTTGCGGAGTATTTTACGCTCAAATATTCCCAAAAGTCTTTCATCTTTCTGCGTTAGTGTCCATGTTTCTGCTCCATATGTGAGGACCGGCCTCAGCAATGTTTTGTATATAATAATTTTAGTTCTTCTTTGAATGTTTCTTGAGTGGAAATGCTTTTGGAGTCCGTAGTATGCCCTATTTGTAAGATTTATTCGTCTTTTGATTTCTTCGCTTGTTTTATTGGTAGCAGTCAATAGCGACCCAAGGTATGTGAAGTTGTCAACACGTCCAAAGGTATGACTTCCAAAGACTGTTTCTCGTTCCTCATTTGCTATCGGATCCTTTGTAACCAACATGTACTTGGTTTTGTCTTCGTTGATGACTAGACCGACCTGTTTCGCCGCTGTTTCCAATTCTAGGAGATAT